GTGACCGGCGGCTTTCGGGGAGCGGCTTGGGCAGGAGGTGTCCTCCTTGCTGCCCTTCGCCTCGTCGTTGACATAGGGTTCGCCTCTCGGACTGACCACTTGAGCCCAGGACTGGGCTTCCTCAGCTGGCTGGCAAGCGTCTTGACCAGTTGCTGCGTGTAGTTCTCGCTCGCCTTAGCGTCGCGTCCTCGGGCTTCCGCACGTTGTTGATCTCTGGTGCAGAACCTGCGCAGCGAGTAGTCGACTCCGTAGCGGTCTGTCACGATCCGCCACGGCTTCTTGATCGGCACGCCATTATGGTTATTCCATCCGAAGGCACAGCCGTCGAAGGCGAACACTCGCGGCAGTTGCTGCAACAGTCGCTTGGCCGTGGCGTTCTTTGTGGGGATCCGTCACAGTAGTGTGGCCATTCGAATGATACGGCCAGCTGCGACCCGAACTCCTTGCGTAGGAGACCTTTGGCGTCCAGGAAGAGCGACACCATGATCTCCGACTTGCGCCGCTGTTTCGGCAGCTCTTACTTGTGGGTCGGATCAGATTGCAATATTAATTGCTGTAATGACGTCCGCGGCTTACAAGGGAAGGCGCCGTGGATGCGCGCGCTCTTTCTTTGGCATAGGGTACTCCGGATATTCTTCTCCTGCTCGTCAACCACCTGGCGCTTGGAGAGGTCGACGCTTGGGGGGCCCACATCGGACAGCAGCTCCTCCTTTATGCCGCCATGTGTTGCTGAGCTTGCTGTCTGGATTGCAACGCCACTCGTAGAGGATGCTCTCAGGGGCGTTGCCCATGGCACTTGGTGTTGTCGTTGATCTGGCCAGGTCGATGCGCATGGCCTGGCCAACTTGACGTGGCACGACACCGCTTCGCCCAGTCACAAGTGCCGCTCGCTTCCCCCCAAGGAGTAGCGGTGTCGAGCCTTTCGTGGGTCGTAATGTAGTCCCGCATGTTGGTTTCATCTGAAGACGAAGACAAAGTTAGCGACGCATATTGCGTAGCCCCATGTACAGCATGCTAAGGCAGACGCGCAATGAGGCGAGAACCTTTGACCTTGCGGGTCTGGAGCCGTTTGGGGACATTGATCTCTTTCGATGGGATCAGCTTGCTGATCGCGTCCAGCTAATTCGGCTTCTTCTCGGTCACGTTTACGTTCGGTTTCTGGGCCTTCTGGATGTCCTTGGACGGGCCGAACTCGCTCCCAGCCTTCCACTCTTCAGGCTGCAGCTTGATCGCGGGATGTCCCGCGCTGCTCGTGACCAGCTTCTGGGAATGTCCACCTGTGCGAATGTGTCCCTCCCAGAGAAACATGTCGATCTTGGAAAGTAAGATGAAATCCCTGTCAATCAGCAGGCAGAGCGTCGGGCTGTCCACAACGCTAAACACGATCCTGCCCGCGCGGCCGCATAGCGCTAGCTGCGCCGTCACGCGAGGCTTGCTGGGCAGCGTGCCTCCGTTGCCGAACCTGTAGGTCTCGTGCTCGGGCTCCTCCAAGATCTGCTCGTCTAGGCCCATCTTCGTGAGCAACTGCTTGTAGTCGTCGTGCCAGGACTGGCCGGCCACGCAGAAGAGGCACGCCGTGTCCACCACGCCAATGCCGCGATCATTGGTCTGCTTGCCGGCGCCCGTCTGGTTGACGCAGGGCAGGTCGGGGATCACCCTCTCCGACAGGCACGTCTGCGGAAGCGCGTCCTCGTTGGGAGGGGTGACCGGCCCTTCTGGATGAAACTGGATCTCCACATCTGGGCCGCTGAGCTCCGTAATGTTGGCCGAGCGGTGCGATCGTCCTCGCGTGGACCTTGCGCCGAATTTGCCCTTGGCCTTCGGCGCAAACCTGCGAGCACCGGGCGTCGGGCACTCCGAACCACTGGTCCAGTGGCAGGACTCGCCGCAGTCCCAGCACGCAGTATTCTTCTTCCGCTGGTCGATGCGGGAGTGCATGGTCTTGCTCGCTGCCTTGCGCTTCGGAGCTCCGGGCTTGCCGCGGGCCTTGAGGGCGTCGCGTGCCGATCTGATGCCGGCCATGGCCTCCGGGAACAGCTGCGAGCTCTGCCGAGGCGGCCTCGACCTTGCCAGAGTCGTCGTTATCAAACACCTCCGACACGTCCACGCCAGAGGTTTCGAGTTCGGCGCTGAAAGCCTCGAACTCGTGTCGCGCCATTTCCTGGACGTCACCATCTGGGATCTCGTCCTCGTCGTCCTCTTCCTGGTCGACGTCCTCCTCGTCTGACTGGATCGTCCACCACGTTTGCCGAGCGGGCTCGACCTGGTGCGCTCGGGCGCTGCCGCGAGGATCGCGGTTGGCTGCTCCAGGGTCGAGGCGGCGGCTGCCGCGACCTCTCCTGGACGTGGATGTCCGGGAACATGCGCACCAAAAGGCCCCTGAGGCGTTGGAACCCGTGGTGCTCGTCTGGCAGCTTGCCTGCGGCTCGCTCGCGTCGATCGGCAGTCAGACCGGCCTTGCGCAGCAAAAACCATCCTGCAACGTCGTCGAGCTCGTTGAGATCGACTCCATTCTCGCGTAGCTGTCGTATGCCCGCGTTGAACCTGACTAGCCAGTCTGTGATGCGCTCGCCAGGGCGTCGGTGGTGTGCTGTCGACTCGAAAAACTTCTCGAGCGTCTCGCACTTCTGCACGGGTTTCTGCTGACCCAAACTCTTCCAGGTGTCGCAGTACGTTGGCGATGCCCTTCGCGTTCCTGTCTCTTATCTTGTCATTTATTTCCTAAAGCACATCATCTGGCCGAGAATGAAGCAACTCAGGTTCCATGTTGATGGCGCATGCACGCGCCGATCCCGAAAATCTGAGCACCAGCTTTGGTGCCAGGCATTGGTTTACCTCCAGGTTCCCTCTGAGCTCCCAGAGCTTGACCTCTTGCTTATAGTCCCGTCACTTCGCTGGATCTCCATTCCAGCTCGGTATCAGAGACTGCGGCGTGAAGTTATTGTCCGTCACCTTGTCAGGAGTACGGCTGCGCGTAGATGAAACCACCACAGGAAAGAATTGTCGGACTCGATGTCACTGTCCGCCGCCGTCGTGATGACATACAATTTCTTGAGGGAGTTGGCGTTCTGGGCGGTGGGAAAATCGATCTCGGCGGCTGCGTTAGAGATCTGGAAGGGTGCAACATTAAACTCAATGGCGTCACTGACGTTCACGGAGAGAATGCAATTTAACTTCGCGGTCTCGCTAAAGTTCAGGAAGGATGCGACATCGAACTCAGTGGCGCCACTGACGTTCTGGGAGATTGGGAAATTTAACTTAACGTTCTCGCTAAAGTTCGAGAAGTGTTGGAAGTAAAATGGCTTGGCTGCGTCGCTGACGCTGCGCTGGTGAGGCAGTTAGTAGGGCTGGCTGGCGTCGCTGACGCTGGCGGAGTATGTCAGGTAGTAGGGCTTGCTGGCGCCGCTGACGCTGGCAGAGTAGGGCACGTAGTAGGATTTGATGGTGTCGCTAACGCTGGCGGAGTAGGGCAGGCAGGAGGGTTTGGCGTCGCTCACGCTGGTGAGGTGCAGCAGCAGCAGCAGGAGGACGCTGGTCCTCGATTCCACTAAGCTCCACGTCGGCGTCGTCGTGGCACAGCTCGGCCCCGAAGGGCGTGGATGTGGAAAGGCGCCGCGCGCCTGGTAACTGAGCACGCTCCGCTACCACTGCGACATGTCGGATTATCGCTGATAATGTTTCTTAGCTGTCACCGCTGGTGCTAGCGTAACACAATTGACCAAGTGCCCTGTGAGCCAAACGTCCGCGCGAGGTTTGGGCCAGGAAAAGCACTGGCACGCGCAGCGGGCCAGACAGGGCAGAGGCGGAAGCTCGCGGAAGGAGCGAGGGAAATGCTAGGAATCGTGTCCTTGAGGAATGTTATCCTTGCCTGGGCCCGACTGTTTTTCTCATGTTTGCGCACCAGCAGCTGCAAGCCGCCGGATGGGCACAGGGACTGAGTCGGAGAGCCGATCGTTCCACCAGGAGTTTCTTGATTACCAAGTCAAGGAGCGTGTGGGCATGAGTTGACCGCAATGCTTCGGCAACTTGCCGTCCCGTAGCCATTGTCGCTCAACTTCTTTCAGGTCAAACCAGCTTGGACGCAATAGGAAGGTGGAGGCTTGAGCGGCTTACAACGAGAGTGAAAGCAACGCGCCGTGTTGTAATGCGCCCCTCTGTGCCACATGCGCGGTCCAGTGGTACCAGGAGCGACAGAATTGTCCGCATTGTCGTGCGGATTGGCAACGCCAGCCATTGCTACGTTCGGCTTTCCCCTGAGTCCGATGCGCCTTGGGAGGGATTGGTGGTGCAGCTGCGGGGTTAAGGTTTGGGGGGATGGCAGTACTTGGCCTTGCCTCATGATCGCATGTCTCCCTGGTGGCCTTGCTGCGGCATCAGGGGCAGCATCTGTGGTATCAGCCATCGACTATGTGGCGGTGCCCCTGGCGTGTGCAGCGATATCCGCGGGCGGCGTCATTGGCGATGTGAAAGGTGCACAAAGTGTACATGGGTCTGTGCATTTTTCGAAGCAGCGACGCCACGGCCGTTTCCAGCTCTGGCGATATTGATACACTCGTTCAGCACAGGTTACGTGGCTTGCGCACGCATGTTTTTGCATGCCGCTAGAGGCTTCGGTTTGGGATTCGTATGGAGTATGGGGCGTGGTGCTTGCACTACGCCTTCGTATGTCGCATGGGTAGGGCAGGTGCCATGCGAATCGAAATTACGTGTTTGCAAGTTGGATGGGGCAGCATTGACAACGAATCGCAGAGTTGATGTGGTGGGCTGGCCAGTAGTTTTCAGAACTTAACCAAATCAGCGGCAAAGTTTGATGAGTTCCAACCGTCGAAAAAAAAAAGTTCGACAGCATGCCGGCCGAAAGGACATGTCAATCAGCGAGTGGCAATTTGTTGGCGTATTGACACTCATCGTCGTCCTGCTGCGTCTCCTGCCCCTCCTCCTCCTCCTCCTCCTCCTCCTCATCATCATCATCATCATCTTTGTTTTCGCCTTCGTTGGAGGCGCTGCAGATTGTTGCGGAGGACCTCGCAGGTGGCCCAGAAGCGCTTGCAGGCCGGGCGTTCCCCCCCCTCCCCTGGGTTTGTGGGAGCATGCAGGTTCGAGGGGCGCCTCGAAATTTGGTAGATGCGCTTGGGCAATTTAGTCGTTGTTCCATCCTATGGTGTTGGGCCTTCGTTTTGAATCAGCAGCGCCCAGCGCCTACCTCTCCTCCTCCTCGCCCTCCTCCCTCCTCCAATCCTGCCTCAGCCGCCGCCCTGTCCACTTTGGCACACCTCTCATACGTTTCGTGGCCCCGCGGGGAGCTCTTCAGAAGCTCCCAGGGGCGCACGGCCCGCATGCATGCGTTCTCCACACCATTTCGGCGCACCGCTCACACGTTTCGTGGCCCCAGAGGGAGCTCCACCAGAGGCCCCAGTAGCTGCGTTCGCGTGCCTTCTCCAGACCATATCGGCGTACCCCTCACGTTCCGTGAGCTCCACCAAGGGCCCCAACGGCTGCATTCGCATGCCTTCTGCGCACGATTTCGGCGCATCCCTCGCCCGTTTCTCGCCCCAGAGGGAGCTCCACCCGAGGCCCAGTGGCAGCAGTCGTACGCCTTCTCCCCCCCACCCCCTGACACGCTTCCTGGCCATGTATGACAATCCATGTGAGGCGCCAGTGGCTAGTTTTGCACGCCTTCGCTACACAATTTCATCGCACTCCTCACACGTTTCATGGCCCCCCGACCTGAGGCCCCAGTGCCAGGGCCCGCATGCCTTCTCCACACCATCCTGGCACACACACCACACACGTGACTGCGCCCATGTCGGCACACCCTTCACACGCTTCGTGGCCCCACAGGGACCTCTACTTCAGGCCCAATGGCAGGACTCGCATGCGAGACCGCGCCCATGTCAGCACACTCCCCACACGTTTCGTGGCCCCAGAGGGTGCCCACCGAAGGCCCCGCCGCCGGCTGCTCCGCTCCGCAGAGCCGCGCCGATAGACGCGCAGATCAGCCGTAACGGGTTGCATCCAGATGTTGCCCGCCACGGCCGACCGCTGCGACCCCATCAGCAACGTCGCTCCGCCCCTCTCACGCACGCCTTCGTCCCTCTGCTGGCCTCCTCCACTACAGTCAAAAAGCCTAAGAAGGACGCGCGACTCTGCTCAGGGTACCCTTGCGTCCTTGCTCTTCCTTGCTCTTGCGTCCTTGAGGTTTTCGTCGTCCGCCGCCCCAAAAATCCCAACTTCGGCTTCCAAGGGTCTTGCGTCCTTACCGCGCGTCCTTATTAGGGTTTTTCACTGTAGTTTCCACCCGCCTCGCGGCACTCGCAGCCTTTCCCGGCGGGAGGCGGCAGAAGGTTGGCGGAAGGCGGCGGAAGCGAAGCAACGGCGCTCCCGCGGGCGGAAGTTCGGCGGAAGGCGGCATAAGTACGAGCCACCGCCCCAGGAGACGGCAAGGTTTTTGGGCTCAGGGCTCCTTGAACCATCCAGTTGTTCTCGTGTTCTGGCCTCCTGGGGGGCGGGGGTCGTCTCCCAGGGAAGGGGTCGGGACCTCGCTGGGGCCCGCGTTGGCCGAACAAGAACCCATCGTAGGATGTCAAGGCCCGTGCCTGCGGGCACAGGCAGAGTCGATGGGTCGGCCACACGTAAAAGTGATCTTTCGCCGGAGTGAACTTTGTGCGGGCACACTGGGATCCCCAGACGATTCGACGCGGTGCAAAGGTAGTGTCTTTCGCGCTCGGTTTTGGCCTCCCCGCCGCCCCCAAAAGTCGCGCACCGAAGGCCACTCTTGCCTAGGATCACTCTTGAGTGTGGCCGACTGGGAAGGACAGGCTGCCAGCGCCAGGGGTCGACCGCATCGTTGTTTAGGCAATGTCGTAGATCGTTTTCGTTTTCTCTACGTTTTCGTTCGGGAGGCCGCCGGCTGATCACGACTTCGGATTTGCAGAGTTTCTCGATTTATCGTCGGACGGATGTATCATCGTCCTGGCTCCATTTTAGGAAGCTGGGGTCCCTAAGCTCAGCAACATCGATAGGGCATGATAGGCATAGGGGGGAACACATCGACCCCCAATCGCCCCTGATCGCCGATAGGGGCCCGATAGCCCCAACTTGCCCAGGAACGTTCGGGTTAACGATCGGCAGTATGTCGCCCATGAGTCGGCGATGTATCACCGATTCCAGGTCGATGTGTACCCCTTATGCCAGTCCCCCCCCCCTTTATCCTTGCCCCTCAGGGGCGTCGAAGGAAAACAATGTGCATTAGCTTCATTTCTCGGAGGTCCGGGCGGATTTCTTGGGTCGGCGCTGGGCCCCCTTGGCGGCGCCTCGGTCGCCGCCCCTGGCGCGCTCCGCGCGCTGGGAGGTGGGGCCCCGCACTGATCCAGGAGATCTGGGCGGAGCTCCGAAAATCTATGTGTATGCAGCTTTTGTTCGTTCGACTCCCACACCGAGATCGACGATACAACGATGGGGCCTTGAGGGATGTGGCCCTACGGACGAGTGGCCTCAAGCAGTGATGGTTCAGCTGAGGATTCCTCTGCGATCATGAGTGCCTTATCCCTCAGGGCCCCGTCTTTGAACCGCCGACGAGAAGCCCTTTGGCGCCAGGGAAGGGAGGGAGGGAGCCCTTCCCTTCCCTTCCCTGGGTGGGGGAAATGGATATCCCCCGTCCTTGCGAGGGACCGGGGAGCTCCTTTCCCACGCTTCCTGCTCGTGGGAGCAGGCCATAGTTCGAGGTGGAATGCGCGGCCAGTGCCGCACAGTCTGTTCATACCGGTGGCTGGGAGCCCACTAGCAGAGGGCAGGGCCGGGTGTTCTCTCCCCGTGCGTGCGACGTGCGAGAGCAGTTGTTCTCGCATTGACACGTTGACACCCGTAGCGGGAAGGGTAATGGTTGGGCCCAAGGTCGCAGTCGGAGTTACCTTTCCAGACTGGTAAGGATCGCCTCTTCCCACGCACAGGGTGGGACGCTGTGCAAAAAGGTTGTGCCACTGTAGATCGGCCATTGCGGCTGCGTTTGCAGCTAATTATGAGTACTTCTCTCCTGTGTCGTCGCCCCCGCCTTCAGATCGTTCCTGCTCCACTTCGGATTGGGAATGAACTGGTAACTCGGGGTGTAGGTGCGCTTGCTGTGCGACCAGCTTGGCACACATCCTCACTCGTGAAAGTTTTTGTCGGCCGCTCGGTTTTCGTCACATCTGATGGTCCTTGAACGCACTGTGCCACGACCACGTCAATTGTGTTGGCGTGGCCGTGGCAGCCGTAGTCATGCAGGCATCTTGCGGTAGGTAACTACCCAACAAATTAGCAGCCATATGTTAGCAAATGGCTGGACAGAGGTAGAGTGGCTGAATTTCATTGGGCACATGCTGCGATCGTCTGGGGGATGGGATTAGAAAGTAAGATGCGGAATAGGAGGAGCATCTGGCAGGTAGGCTCGCCAGCACTCACTATTCCATCGAAGCAGCAGAGTTCAGTTTAATTTTCAAACTTGCTGCCAAACGTTGAGAGCAACTCGTAAAACGCTTGACAACTCTGCGCGGTCAGCACGACAGGCAAACACATGTTTCCATCTTGCGCGAAGCAGAAACCATCAATTGTTGGTGGCAGCTAGTTCTGGGCGTGCCCCGACATGCTGTTCAGGAAGACTGCGCTGGTTGGATTGCGCTGGTCGCACCCACTGCCGGGCAAGGCTTCCTCCGGCAGCCGGAGACCCAAACCGACGGCGCACCCAAGAGCAGGCCGCTTCAAGCTGCGGCGGCCGATCTGGCGCATGTGCGGAGCGACGATCGGGAAACAAACAATGGCATGAAGATAACTACTCGGAGGTCCGCGCGGACTCCTCGGATCGGCGCTGGACTCCCCTCCCTGACGCGCGGAGCGCGCCAGGGGCAGCGGCGGAGGCGCCGCCAGGCAGGCCGCCCCAGCGCCGATCCGAGAAATCCGCGCAGACCTCCGAGTGCTTCTGCTCATGGCATTGTCTGTTGCCCGGTGCCCCAATCAGCTTGCCACTGCGCCCGAGTTCTTTCTGGCCGCTTCCTGGAGACCAGTCGCCGCCGCCGACCAAAGAAAACGTCTCCCTGCACGAAGCAGCAGGCTTTTGTGGCTGGTCTCGGCCGCCAGAGGCGCACCCCATGGCGAGTCTGAACAGCAGGCGCGGTCGTCCCGAGCCTCGGCGCCCGAGTGCGTTCAACCCGTGTCGCGACAGGCAGCAACGGGCCGCTCCACGGCATGGCGGCCCGAGAGGGCAATGCGAGCAAGCGACGCCAGCAGAAGGAGCAATAACGGCGTAAGCCTGGGCACTGCCCACGAGCCTAACGAGCTTAGGAAACGCTGCCTTCGAGGTGCCTGGGCCCTGCCCACGAGCCTAGGAAGCGCTGCATAGGAGCTGCTAAGGCGCTGCCCACGAGGCTAGGAAGCGCTGCCTCGGAGCTCTGCAGACACTTGCGGCCCACGTGCTGGAACAGAAAGTTTCGGTGCTCGCGCGGATTCTTCGGATCGGCGCTGGAGCCGGCGCTGGAGGCCCCCTTGGCCGCCCCCGGTACTCTCCGCGCGCCAGGAAGGGGGGCCCAGCGTAGATCCAAGAAATTTGCGCGGATCTCCTACAGTGTATGTCGGGATTCGGGGGGCGGGGGTGGCAATTTGTGGCGCAAGCAGCAGCAGGCCGTTTCAAGATTGGGCGACCCGCGGCGCAGACACTGTCACCGCCAACAGCAAGCCATGTCAAGCTTTGGCCGACCACGGCGCAGCCCTTCATGCAAGGTATGGCGCCTTCTGGGGCGTAAGTTGTGGCACAAACCATGGCGCAACATTTGCCGCAGCAGTCGGCGATACCTACAGCACCAGCTCCGACAGCATAATGTATAAAGGAACCTATAGAGTTCTCTTCTCCACGGTGCGATTTATGAACGGCGCAGGGAGGAGCGTGGAGGAGGGAGGGCGAGGGAGGGAGAAGGACGGATAAACGATAGAAGAGATGCAGGAGCAGGAGGGGGGCGGGCACGAGGCCGAAGTCGAAGACGATGCGGCCGACGGGGCTCAAGTGGGAAGGCTTCGGGCTGCGCGCAGCCAGCCCCCCAGGTAGTCCCGACTGGCCTCAACAGGCCCCCGAGTAGCCCGGGGCGGTCTCACCACCCTGACGCCGCCTCCGGCGGCGCCGAGAATGCTCTGGACTACTCGCGGGGTCTGATGAGGCCAGCTGTGACTACTCGGGGGCCTGCTGAGGCCAGCCGGGACATCCTTTGGGGGTTGTCTGTGCGCAACCCGAAGCCCTACCAAGCAGGAGCAAGAGGAGGACGAGGACGAGACCGAAGTCGAAGACGATGCGGCCAGTTGTTTGATGATCCTGAATTGCCTTGCCGTCCACGTGCGCGCTGCAGTCAAGACGCTGGCATGAGGACAACTGTGGGCTCTGGAGGGGCTCTGGCTTTCAGGCCGTTCCTCAGATCCAGGTCGCGGGGCTTATTCGTGGCCGGGGCTCGCCGTGGGCACAAGACCCTTTTCGGTCCTCATTCGGCGCTCCTTGCGGGCCGTTCCTCGAAGCTAAATTGGGGAGCCCGTTCGTGGCCGAGGCTCGTCGCGGCCTGAAGAGAACCGTCGTTCCTTCCAATTGTAGGCACGATGAATGTAGCGAGCCCTGTCGGAACCATCTCGCCACCCGCCGCAGGTGACTGAGCAGACAACAGCCCAAACCTCAGCAACCGACTCTCCCGAGCAGCAAGAACGGATCACCGTGCCATCAGTGTCCCACCGAGCATCAGCACCCCCATCATCATCGCCCCGGTCTGCTGCAGCAGTCGGTGCTCAGGCCATGGGAGGCTGGCGCGAGCGCGCGGAGAGGCGGGTGCACCCGGCCAATGGCAAAGCGTACACCCTGATCGAGTTGAAGGAGCTCGACTCACGAAACCAAAGTTTGGGATGTCCGAGCGGTTTTCTTGGGTCTGCGCATAGCCCCCCTCCCTTGCATGCCAGGGGTTGCCCTGGAAACCCACCTGGGGGGGAAGGCGGCGGGCCAGCGCCGACCCGAGACATCTGCGCGGACCTCCGAATTGTCTGGCTTCTATGTGTCCAGCTGCCCCTCCCCAGGAGTTCTACCTGCTCTCGCGCCCGTCCGAGGTCGAGGGCTTCTGGCGGAGCTCGTGGGCGAAAAACACATCCGTATCCGAGGCCTCGCGGGCTGGGCCCCTGGGCCGCGACCCCGGGGATACGGAGCGTTTTTTCGTGGACGCCTCGCGCGAAACGCATCCCCGCGACCACGCATCTGCGGCATCGCGCCCCAGAATCCAGACCGCGAGGACGCGGATACGGATAGTTGTGTTCGCAGCTCGTGAGGAGCTTGCCCGCGCTCGAGCTGCCCGCGCTCGATCAGGACGGACAGCTACATACAAAGCAGAAATGAACGCTGCTGTCCATGAAAATATGGGGAACTATTTGTGTCTGCCTGGACTCAGACATCCGACGTCATCATTTCGTCATGACGTCAATCCACAGAGGTCTCGACCCATTCCCTGGGACCAGTTTTTCATCCTGAGTTGTCTTTTGACGGTCCCGAGACCTGGCGAGGGATCCGAGAGGCCGAAAAAAGCGAAAGACACTACTTTTTTGTTCTTCTTCATGATTCGAGGGGGCCTGGGGGCTCCTTGACTCCCCATGAGGGCGCCGCGGCCGCCCGCTGCCCGCCGAGTGCCCCGGGCGCCGCACAGCGGGCGCCCGCCAGCGCGCACGCCGCGCCCGCGCCAGCCACGACCGCCGCGGCGCCGGCGGCGCCGGCCGCGGCGAGCCTGCAGCGGCAGCCGGCCGCCGCCGCGGTGCTGGAGCCCGCGGCTGCCGCCGCGGCGCCGTGCGGTCCAACAGGGGCGTCCAAGCGTCGTCGTCGTCGTCGTCTTCGGTTCAACAGGGCGGTGACGACCATTGGCCCAGACCCGAGTCATGAAAGAGCACGGCGCCAGGTTTTTCGTTGTCTTCGGCCTCTGGGGGGCCTCACCAGGCCCCGGGACAGTCAAAGAAGCAATTCAGGATGAAAAGCCGGTCCCGGGACATGGTCATGGACATGACATTTGCCCAGGTTTCGTGGCCCCTCCTCTTGTTGTTTCAACGCGTTCCCTGGCCCCCCCCCTGGTTCCAGAGCCACTGCGCCATGATGTTTTCACAGCGTTGACCCCCAGAGGTCTCGACCCATCCCTGGGACCAGTTCTCGATCCCGATGAGTGGCCCGAGGCCGTGCAAGGGCCCCAAGAGGCCGAAAGTAGCGAAACACCTCCCGTCGTGTTTATTTGTCAGGGCTCGAGGGGGTCTTGGGTGGGCGCACATGCCTCGGGCTATGGGCCGGTCGCGAAGCTCCGTCTTGGGTGGGCAAGGCGTGTGTCCATGTGTCGCCGCGCCGTTTGTTCCGACGCGTGGCCTTGCGTCTTGGGGAGGGTGCCGCGGCCACCAGGGCACACTCCGCCTTGGGCGCGGCGGGTGTGCCGTGGGTTTGCCGCGGTGCTGGCTTCGTCTACTTGGGACGCGGGGTGCAGTGCTTACCGTGGGTTCGCCGTGGTGTCGGCGTCGTCCGCTTGGACGCGCTGGGAACAAACGGCGCGACGACATCCGCTGCAGCTTGGAGTTTCGGGCTCCCTTCCCCCGTAACCCGAGGCGCACTGGATATTGAGAAAGAGCTGGCCCCTGGAGCCCTGGAGGCTCGATTCTCATCCATGTCCAGTGCGTCGCGGTCCTGTGGCGCCCCCTCCGAGAAAGTCCAAGACGCGCTGGAGATGGCCCCTCACCTTGCCCCCCTCCTGGGCGCGCTCCTGGACGCCTCAGAGGCACGGGGCCAGCGGCCGAGGCGAGGCCTCCAGAGCCCGCGGCGGCGGCCGCCGCGGCGCCGCGCGGCGCTCCTCTGGGCCTCCCAGGTGGGGTCGGAGCCGCTGGGGTCGGAGGATCGCGGCCCAGACATGCGGCGTCCCGGAAAGGTCCGGGCGGAGGTTTTCCTCAGCATTCGCTGTCTGGGGGCCCCGTGGCCGTCCAAAAAGGGCTCGGGAAGCAAGACCAGCCCGGAGGAAGAGGTCGGGACGTCCAGAGAACCCGTATTCCAAAAGTCTGGGCATCGCATGTCTGGGGCCGCATGCCCGATGCATCGGCGATGCATCGGCGATGCGGCTCGATGCGGAGCTCGATCTCCCCGCGCTGACGTCGCTGATGCATCGCTGGCGTCGCCGACGCATCGCCGATGTATCGGTGATGCATCGACGATGCGGTGCGATCCTCCGACCCGATCTGCGCCTGCCCCACCTGGGAGGCCTCGAGGCACGGGGCCAGCGGCCGAGGCGAGACCTCCGGAGCCAGTGCCGCGCGGCAGCGAGGGCAGGGGCCAGGAGCCCCCAAACCCCGACCACCTAGAGCGTTGAAGGAGAACGCCACGGAAGGTTGTCCGCTATGTTCCGCGTCTGGGGGCCCTTAATTACCAGGCCTCGGGACCGTCGAACGACGACTCGGGATGAGAAAACGGTCCTTGGGAATGGGTCGATACCTCTAGGGGTTGACGTTCTGGTGAGATTATGACGTCGGGGATCTGCGGTGACCACACCGGACCTTTTCGTCGGTTCCAGGGGCTTGTCCTGCCTCCAGATGCGTTCCAGCCGCTGCGCCTCGCCGGGAGCGTTCCGGTGGTGCCCGGATCGTCCCGAGTTGCCGCCAAAGTTCGGAATTACGGCCCACAAACCAAAAGTTCGGAGGAGGGCCGGTGTGGTGAGTCAAGATGGGATTCGGAGTGACCGCACGGTTTCGGGGCTCAGGCCCAGGCCGATCTCCCAGGACTTCTCGGGAGGTTGGGGCCTCTGGGATCCCAAGACCGCATTGCCCCTCGCAGTTCGGTTAGTAGGTTCTTTGGAATTTTGAGGTCACCGCACGGTCTGTCACCGTACCGTTCTTGGACCCCCAACTCAGGGGAAGACCAGATCTGGCTCCCACCCCCTTGGTTTCTTGTTCGTTGCCTTTTTCGGTGCGATCGAACGCCGACATTGCCCACTTGACGCAGAATGTCGGCTGCCCCGCAGCGGCCTCTCTGTTTCCGTATTCTTGCCGGCCGTGCCGATGTTTGAGCCTCCCAGGCGGGGGGGGGCCTCGTCGCCACGGTTTGGGTTCGCCTCGGCGCCCTGGTCAGCACTCGTCAGGGGCAACGCCAGGGGGGGAGGCAGGCTCGGGGGGCGGGGGGGCATGGACCACCGATCGCTCGTGCATCGCCGGTAGGGGCCTGTTGGCCCACCGCGCCCAGAATCGCGCGGTGTCGCTACCAGGGGCACATCGCCGAGCGATCAGCGGTGTGTATGCCGATTCCCGATCGATGCTTCCCTGATCACACGTGGCGGCACTCGAGAAGTCCCTGCTGTCGAGATTCAAAGGGGGTCGGCATCTCTTCCTCGGCGGAAGGGTGGCGGGAGCCGGCGACAGTGGAACGAGGGCGGTTCCGCCGGTTGAAGCTTGCGGCAGTGAAAGATGCGCTTCCAGGATCGACTATATATGTACGTGAGAGTGATCCTTTGCCAGAGTGAACTGTGGTGCGGGCCCAATGGGTTCCCCTGATCGCTGAGCGCGAAGGTAGCGTCTGCTTGCGCGCTTGGTTTGGGCCCCCTCGCCGCCTCCCTAAAGCCGCGCACCAAAGGTCATTCTTGCCCAGGGTCAGTCTTGCGCGCAGTTAGCCGGTTCCGAGAGATGACGAGATGTTTGGGTTCACGGTTTCTGGAGCCCGCCAATTGGAGGATGGTTACGCGCACCGTGTAAACAGAAACACGTTTTCCCTCGACGGGCGCCCAGAATCGTGCGGTCTCGCTGTCAGAGGCTTATCGCAGGTCCATCGGCGATGTACCGCCGATTCCCGATCGATATCGCCCTGATCACATTTCAGGATGGTTACGTGCGTACGCCGTATGAGCAGAAACTCGTTTTCCCTCGACTGAATCTGCGGCGCCCACTCCCACCCCGCGAGAGCCGCCCTCCCGATGGAGCTGGGAGTCGCCTCGCCTCGCCCCGCACCCCCCTGAGCCCGTGCCCCTACGAATGTTGCCCCTGAAAGCGCCCACTCCAGACCGTCCCGAGTCATGAAGACATCACGACGGGCCTCTGCAGGCCCTTACTAGGCCTCAGGACCGTCAGAAAACGACTCAGGATGAGAAACTGGTCCCGGGGAATGGGTCGAGACGCAGACGTAAAACATGCGTCTCCAAGAGATGGCAAGGTTTTTGGGTTCGGGGAGTTCCAGAAACCCTAACTAGTGGTAGTGGTTGTTCATTGATCTCCGTGCCCGCAGGACCAGGACGGGCAGGAGGCGGAGGGAATGCCATCGAGGCCTGCGCACATCATCCATAGATTCTGTGGCGAGGCCAAGCTCGTCAGCAGTGACCAGGAGTGGAGGGAGGCCGAGAGGACGCTGAGGGCCGCGATGGACGAGAGGGACATCCTGGTCGTCGGCCTGGACATGGAGTGGATACCGGACCGGACAAAGAACGACGACCACCCCGTAGCGCTCATTCAGGTGAGCGACGGAAGAACGAGGTCGATTGCGCCGACAATTGCGCGCTAGCTTCCCACGTGAGCGCCCTCTTCTCCGCACAGTGTGTCACGCTGGCGGACCGCACAAGCCGCGACGTAAGGTCGCCATGTCTTCTCGCGCAAGGCCCGTTTATTTTTGTCGCTCAGGTGGCCCTGCCCGAGCAGGTGTTGCTCTTCCGCACAAGGGGTGTGCGGCGGCTGCCGCCTTTCCTGAGCGCGGTGTTCCAGAGCAAGAAAGTCATAAAGATCGGAACGTCGTTCGACGCCTGCGACTGCGCCAAGCTCCGGTCGTCGTTTGGCCTGGTGTTGGACAGCTCCGCGGAGGGGAACAGTTTCTTCGACATCAGCGTGGTCGCGAGGCAGGTGGGCCACACGCACGTGGGCCTCAAGAAGCTCGCCCTCGCGTGCGGCTACAGGATGGAGAAGAGACAGGACATCTCCGTCTCGAACTGGGAGTTTCCCACACTCTCGCCGGACCAGATCAGGTACTCGGCGGCGAAATCCGAACCTTACCCTCGCCGATCAGCGACTCGAGCAACTCGATGGACGGCGGGGGCAAGGGCCGGAATTCTCCGAACACGTGGCGAAATCCGAACCCTACCCCTGCCTCCCATCAATTCAGGAGAACCGATATGGTTGGATGGGGGCAGGGTTCGGGTGTCGCCACCTAGGTACGCGGCGGACGACGCGTGGTTTCCGATCCTCGTGGCAGCCCGGCTGCTGGACGCCTGGGTCGCGAAACACGGCGGGCTCGCCGGGGGGCCGCCAATCCTCGCGCAGGTGATGGAGGCCCAGGAGGGAAACAGATGTCCAACTCACCATGGACCGTTGTGTTGGAAAATGCAGAACTATCTGAGCGACGAAGGAGCATGTGTTCAATTGCGCCGACATTCGCGTGTAAGCTGCCCGCGTAAGTTGCCCGCGTCAGGTCGCGCGTAAGCGCCCTCGCTCCCCACGCGGTGTGCCGCGCTGGCGGCCCGCGTAAGCCACCGCGCGAGGTCGCTACGCCATCTCGCGTATAAGACCCGCTTCTTGTTCGTCACGCTGTTTGAAAATGGAGGGGAAGAGGAACGGATGGGATAAATGGACGGATAGATGGAACATGAGAAGAGTCTGTGTGTCGATGTGTCTGTGTCTCTCTGGGCCCCTTCGTAGGCCTTGGAGGAGAGCGCGCCGCGGCTGAGGCGGGTGCTCGCGGAGGACGACAGCACCGCGCAGGACCTGGCGGTCGGCGAGGTCATCGAGGGGCTGAAGAAGATCATTGGCGGCCTGCACCGTGCATCGCTGAGCGAAGTGGCCCGGCTGGCCCGCGCCAGGCTCGACAGTGCCCTGCTGGAGAAGGCGCGGGTGACCGTCAACAAGCAATTCTTTCGCGACGCCGGGGAGCACTTTACGCTGTCCAACAAGCACGGCGAATTTTTCGTCAGCGTGTGCCCCAGCCAACATAATCGTCGTCATCACCTTTTTCTTCATCAGCATCACCACCATCATCATCATCACCATCATCATCATCATCATCATCATCATCATCCTCATTTTTGGTCTGTTCCGCAGGCGATTGGGCTCTGGACTTCTAGCTGGGCATGGACGCTCAACCATCTGAGAAGTGGCCCCGCAGCAGAGCCGCCTGGGTGCAGGCAGAAAGATCGAGGTGGCCGAGTTCGGCCACATATTGGTTTTGTCGCAGAAAGATAATCATCTCAAGGCTGTCGAGTATTCCGATTTGCAGCGGCCGTCTGCTTGTTCAAGCAGTGTTCGTTCTTCCTTATCTTCCACGTCGTCCTCTACATATTCAATCACCCGCAAGTGTGTCCAGGCCTGACTTGCTGAGTTTCGTGGCGTCGGGTGCCTTCTCTTCGTGGCTGTACCTGTGACGTGCATCCGTGGAGCGCGAATGGGCCTGTGACGCGAACGTGTTGCATTAGTGCACCTTCTCTTCATACGTGTGCTTGTGACGTGCGCGTTGGGAGCGCGAGTGGGCATTATTGTAGCATTTAGCAGGTGTTTGTTCAGCTTGCTTTTTTATTCCGATGCCTACTTCGGTGAAGTGGCCGCGTCCTACACTGCGCAGTGGATGGGCCAGTCAAGTCGTTTTTCCAGTCCGAGCACATCTGTCACATCCAGGGGAGTTGTCAGCACCAAGTGTTTCTGAATGGGTGATCGGACGTATTCTGATGAACGACGTACTTGGCCTATGTGAAGCATTTTTCCACATTTTACAAACGATTGCCCCTGATCACTTACGTGTTGGTCGATATGGTCGCGCGGGTCATCTCGATCTGGCATTCTTCGCTCAGGGTATGGCTTTCGCTCTCATTCGCACAGCGTTATCATTGCCATCATGTCCGCGTTGGGCTCGCCGTGTTCTTATGACTACGCCAAGCGAGACAACGTCTCATCTTAGGAATGGTGCGGTCGAATGGTTTCATCACCAGCAACCCAATTTACTTCAGTCTGTTGGGTCAGGCGCAGCCGTATATCTGTTGTTCGGGCACAGTGGCCTGTACATTGGCAAAGCCAACGTTGCTCGGGCTAAGGGTCGTCCAGGTCTTCCAGAGCGATGTGCTGAGCATTACAAAGCATTGCTGGGTTTTCATTCTCGTCGTGATTCTGAGTTGCCTCGATATGTATCGTTGCGAAAGTCACTCGGTAGCATTGGTTCCTTGCCAGTAGTATGGTGTCCAACAGAGCCCCGGGCTCTGACAGTTGAGCGAGCGCCCATACAGATGTTACGTCCAAATTGTACTGGTGCAGACGACCGCCTTCTCCAGAATACACAACGCCGTGGCTTCCGAGTTCGGCCAGGTCGGGCCGAGCCCCGCAGCCGACCTTTCCCTCGTTTACGGCAGCGGATGACATTCTCGGTGTGGACTACCACGATTTTCAGAGATGTCCTTGGTAGGAAGCCATCTAAGCCTTCAACTCATCCGTCAAAAGTTCGTGGCAGTTTTAAGAAACTGTACCTGTTCCATCTTCGGTGTATTGTATTGTGTACTGGGATGCTCGGCCCACTCAATTTGCTGGATCGTAACCCGCTGTGCCTCAACATGCGATTGGCTTACTGTTCATCAAAGCACGCCAATATCGTCTTTCCGTCTTCGTGGTACTTGTGGCAGAAGGCGGAGTGTACATCCTTGAGTTGGCTGGTCAAATAAAGTCTCGGGCCGGTGGCTCCCCATTTCAATTCGCAGCGAAAGCTCACCTGAACAAATTGTGTCAGCGGGATGGGTTGCCACCAGTAACAGTCTCTCCTGTCATCATACCACGTGAACTTGTTCGGCAGCTGCATGTTCTTCGTCGTCTCTTCAAAACTGCGATTGCAGTTCGGTGTGAGCCAGCTCGTCGGTGGCTAAGTGAGCATCTCAGCGTGCTTCCAGCGAAGTCGGCGATCTGGGCAGATAAGTTCAACGTGAAGTGTATTCGTCGTGGTCTGTGTCATTCGCATTTTCAGCTGGTTGCTCCAGAGGTTCTCGGTCGTTATGCGATGCCTCCCACGTTAGCTGCGTATTCGGGACCGTGGAAGCTATCTGCGTGGCCGTCACTCCCCCGTCTCCGTCGCACGGTGCAAAGTGCGCGGCGATCGCGGGCACAACGTCATCGGCTACACCCTCGCGTTCAGCGGCGGATACGAGGAGCGCTGGATGTGGAGATCCAGGCTCTCCCCGAGCCAGTTCGCCCTGAACCTTGGGCTAAGTTGGAGTCGCAGCTTCAGGATATCATCCGTCTACGAGGGGCGCTCACCTGGGGCGATCGTGAGGCAACTAAGGCGTGGCTTATTGATCGAGGGGCCGTTAGGCCGTATCTAGTTCAAAAGATGATGGCCGATGCGACGTTGTGGCGGTATCGCCCTGACCTTCGTCCACGTGATGTTCTTGCTTGGTGCGATGTTCGTGGTCGCATCGGCCTCCCCGAGTTTCTGACGCACCGGCGAGGATTCCTGGGTCAAGTCCCTTCTCCTCCAACTCTCTTCCCGTTCGTGAAGTCGAAGTGCTTTTCAGATGATGGCGAGTGGAAGTGAAGTCGCCCAACCCACTCATGCATGCGCAGAATTATTGACATCTCCACGATCCCGTTCGCGAGGTCCTGGAAAGTTATTGGTCGTGCTATTCGTGCTGTTCTGGAAATTTCTGGAGCAGATCGGGAGATCCTGAAAATCAGCGACGTTGGAAAGGTTCTGCGAGCTGGCTTGCAGGCATTGTGGCAGCACCTGCACCCGACGGGTGCTGCCTGCGATGCGGCTGCCAGATGCACGGTCGATTGCAGGTCTCGACGTTCGACGTTGATCAGGCGTTCGAGAGTTGCCGCAGTGAAAATGTTATGCCTGCGCGGTTGTGGTTGGAATCTCGTATATGCGCCGTCACAGGTGTTAACGCGATTATGATTGCGAAGGGGCGGCAGTACAAAGCAATGGCTGCCACGCGGTCTCCTGGAGTAGAGCCTGGCGGGCCCTGTCCCTGGAGGCTTTACGGAGGGCCCTTCTAGCAGGCCTTGCGTGCAGTTTCGTGGCCGTCGGGAACCTGCCTTTTGAGCTTCTGGGATCGTGCACTGGGGGCTCTATTAGTAGTGCTGCCGAGTCTGTTCGATTTGCGCATGAGGGGTGTCTGATGATGGAGAATGGTGCGAAGTTGGCAGGTCTTGGGTTTCGATCGGGTCCTTCTCTCGAGGCCGCTCTGAAATGGCGTAGGTATGTTGACGACGTGATGTCCTGTAGTCTCTGCTATCGCCCAGGGTGCGTGAAAGGGAGCCTGTATCTGTCGTCTTTCAGACGCCAGGGAGTCCGACTCGGCACTTGCCAGGGTCCTTATCCCCAGTCGGTGAGGTATTTGAATGGGTGAATTTAGAATTTCATCTGTATGCGAAGTCGCTAAGCTGGACTCTTAAGAACCAACAAAGGCCGTGGATTCTCGAGGCCTCTTCCGATCATCATAGTGTTCTTCTTCCTTGGTTTGGTCGTCTACCATATTCGTTCGCACGTGTTCGAGCACCGCTTCTTAGCAAACTGGCTTCCGCTCGGTCGGCAGGCGTGTCTCGGGCTCTCATGTCTATCATCATCCTCGAGTATGCCCTGGAAATGTTGAAGCTTGGGTACCCCATGCCGTTCATTGCCAAGCTCGTGCCATCCCTGCCTCCGTCGCCATCTGTGCTCAGTGCTCGGCGGTTGCGGTTATCCCAAGTTCGGTTCACCCATCGCGCACACAGTGGGCGCCGAGCGATGGGCAACGGCAGCAAAGGCAACGGCGGCAAGGGCAAAGGATCTAGCCATGGCAAGGGCTACGGTGGTCGCCCCTACGAGCAGACTCAAGGTTGGGGTGACCGCGACGGTGACCCTCGTGGACGCCGCGTCGATCGTGGCCGTGACGATCGCGATCGTGACAGGGACCGCCGCCGCCGTGACGATTCGCCCGACTCCGAGGAGAAGGTTCGCCGTGCTGAGCGTATCCTCGCCAAGCGGAGCCCGCAGATTGCTCGCTTCCAGCAGTGGGAGGAGCAGGAGTCCCGCGACGCCGAGTTCAAGCGCCAGGGCGAGATCTCGGCGGGTTTTGTGGGCTCGCAGTTGAACCAAGCATTGGCGGCGATTGCGGTACCAGCGGCACCAGCAGATTCATGTGCATCAGGCTCGGGAGGCCCATCGTTTCCGCCAAGCCCGCCCCCGGCTAAGGTCACCCCCACCAAGCACAGCCAGAACGTCGACGGCGTGCTCTCGAAATCTCAGAAGTGCATCATCACAGCTTTGTTTGGTGGGAAGTGTAAGATCTCCGAGGGCAGCTTCAAGGAGGTAAGTGACTTCATCACCCAGTCGTGGTCGTCGAACCCCACGGTCGTCAAGACCCTCAACAGCTTTCTCAAGGACAACTTCGACGGCGACCCGCCCCGTGCCAAGAAAGAGCGCATTCAGTGTTTCTGGGATGTACTCCAGCAGTTGGACTGATTCGACGACGCGATCTTTCCAGAGGATTCGGATTCTGAGGATTACTTTGCCCAGCTAGACGCTGGGGCCAAACGTCGTCGGAAGTCAGGTGTTTTCCAGATATCTCCACAGTTCGCGTTTACAGTTGTGTGCGTCAGGTTCGTGCTGGGCATTACGTATGGCTATATCCTCAAGTCATTCGCTCCCGGTGCTGAGTGGTATTGGTGGCAGCAATGTCGTCAGGAATGCGTTTTTGGCTTGGGATATTTGTCAGGTGACCCTGAGCACGTAGCGCAGCACGCTGAGATGATGCCGCAGCCGATGCCGAGTGGATTCCAGTGGCTAACTCAACTTCCTCTCGTGCTGCCAGCAGCCCGTGGGGGTCTCCGTGCGATTCGCGGGTGAGTTCATCCGCGGAGAGAGGGCCAGAGGTCGTGACGGCAGGCGTGCGTGCTGTTCCTGTCTGACCCCTCTGAAGGCAGCTCCCGTTCATCGATTGGTGGGTCATCATTTTTGGTCTGTTCCGCAGGCGATTGGGCTCTGGACTTCTAGCTGGGCGCGGGCGCTCAACCATCTGAGAAGTGGCCCCGCAGCAGAGCCGCCTGGGTGCAGGCAGAAAGATCGAGGTGGTCGAGTTCGGCCACAGATTGGTTTTGTCGCAGAAAGATAAGCACATCATCACCATAATCAGATTCATAATCGTCATCAGCAGCATCATCATCATCAAAATCAGCATCGACACCATCTTCATGCTCATGATGACGATGATGATGTTGATGGTCATCATCATCATCAGCAGCAGCATCATCATCAGGCAACATCATCACCATCACCATCACTATCTCCATCAAGACCATTGCCATCCTTCACAGACTGGGGGCGTGGCCCCGCACAAGATTTGAGAATGCGAGTTGATTTGGACTATGATCTGCGGGGAGGTCGTTCTCTTCATCTTCTCCCCCCTCCCCGCATTCCAGCGCGAAGAATTGCCCAGGGGGGCGCCCATTGTTTACAGAGGTCGATGATCACTCGCCACGTTGGTCCTCCAAGCCCCCTGTTCTCGCATGTTTCGAACCTCGCCCACCGTGGTCTCTGAATCCGGCCCTCGTCCTCGCGTCGCCGTCGCCGATCCTCGTCTGGGCCTGGCGGCTCTGTTCCCCGGGGTTCCTCCGACCAGGTCGTGGCCGGGTCGCCTCCCCGGCAGCCAGCACCAGAGCCACGATGTCGATTGATGCGCCAATTGCCGCGAATCATATGTTCTAATTCTGACAGTTAATTCTAATAAAAGTAAGGGATTGCTAAGATGGCGATGGGCACGCGGCGGTGGACGCTGCGGATTTCGTCCGAAGCGTGGTCCAGTTCGGTCTTGGCAGTTGCCCCCTTATCCCCTCGGAAGAAGTCGTGAAAGTCGCAGATCGTGGGGTTTCTGGATATCCTTAGGTTCTTGACAATATGCCCCTTGCTTTCTTGCCTGAGGAGGATGCGGATGAGGAGGACGAGCAAAGTTGACACAAGGAGGCTGAGGAGACACCGCAAAACAAGAGGAGGGTCATAAGAGGGGGGCGAGGAGGGAATGAGGAGGGAGGAGAAGGATGCGGAGTAGGAGAGGTGAGGAAAGGAGGCAAAGTAGTTCACAAGGCAGCCCACCGCTTCGGCCCCTCCACAAACCCCAACAGCGAGCATGTCTCTGGCGAAGCACCTTACGTAGTAGCTGTAAAAAAAAACATTTATTTGTGTCCTGTCTGCCTGCTCCTCGGCTTCGGCCTCGTCGGCGTCGTCCGCATCCTTATCTTTATCCCCCTCCGCTTATCTCTTCTTCCTTCTTCCTTCGCCCTCCTTCTGTTCCAGGCCTCCTCCCCCGACCCGTCCTCGTCCAAACTTGCGCTTCTCTCTTTCTCCCCGTTTCCGTGTCCTGTCCACCGCACAAAGGGCATGGAGCGGAGACTTGCAGTCCGAACGCAGGGCTCTACACATGGTACCCCATGGGTTGCGTTCCGGTTGTGCCACAGATAGCGCCATGGGGATCCCGCATGGTTTCCAGTAATTGCGCCATAATGTGCGCCATTCACTGCGCCATAGGCCGCTCCACATGTTGCGCCATAGGTTGCGCCGTGGGAGGCTTGCTTTGGGCGCCACCAGAGGTTGCGCAGTAGGCTGCCATTGATACACCAGTGGGTTTCGCCGTGGAATGCGCCACGGATTATGCCATCATCAGTCTGCGACGTGAATTGCGCCTCTCTTTACGTCGCATCGCGCCAGAGGCAATCCGTACGCGCGTCCGAGTGACGCCGGGGCACGAGGTCACGAATTAGCCCGCATTCAATGGAGAGGGGGAGGAAGGTGGGCGATTGCCGGGGAGGGAGGAGGGGGGGGCGCGAGGCCAGCTCACGCGGCGGATCATCGCTGGAGGGCGGGGTGCGGCCTGCTTGGGTCCACACTGGCAGCGGCTGCGGGGCGGCGTCGCAGTGCACCCAGCGCGGGGGCCAGCAGCCACAGGGCGGGCGGAGCCTGGGCAGGTAGGAGAGGCCGACGGTAAGGGGAAGGGTGGCCGCGTGGGGCCAGCGACGCGGTCGGCCAGCGCTGTAGCGGTTGCACGGAGCCCAGTGAATGGCGCCACGTGCTGCGTTAGTTGTTGCGCCACGGTTTGCGCAGTAGGCGCATGTGTTGCCATTCTCCGTTGTCATCTTTTCATTTTCCTTGTGTCACGCTCTCTTCGCTTGCTGGCTGCCCCTCCTCTCTGTTCCTCGTCGTGTTACTTCCGCTGCTGGTCCATATTTTCCAACTCGTTTGCAAGCTGCCACCTCCTCATCGGCTGCCCCCCGTTGCAGATTTCCCCCTCCTCGTCCTCCTCGTGACTTGTGATGCGGGTTGCCTCCGAGCAGCGAGGCCTTCGACCCCCCCCCACACCTAGCCAACCCCAGGGGGGGGGGCAAACCAAAACAATGATGCACTGGGCGGGAAGAGTGAGACGGGCGCGAACTTCTACATCACCAACATCTCGGCACTTGGGGAACAGGGCAGCAAAGTGAGGCTGAAGGCGCCTCCTCGTCCTTGTCCTCCTCCTCCTCCTCCTACTCCTCCTTTAGCACGCCCGCTCAGAAGAGCACTTCTGGGAGACCTTCGTGCGCGACTACCCCTCCATTCTGCAGCGGACGCAGGGCCGGTTCAACACCACGGACGCCCGAAGCTTAGCCAGGCGCGGTTCAAGTTCCCTCCTCTTCCTCACCCTTCCTCGCGTCTCCCTTCGGCGTCACCCCAACATATTCATACTACGTGTGCGTTGCCCGCTAATGGGCGACGCGCGCGTCGAGACATCTTATAGTATATGCTCCGTGGCGGGCGTTTTCTGGCCGTACCGTTGGGGGAACGATATACTACAAGAAGTTGTAAGATGTGTTCTTATCCATCTTTCCTCTGTCCTCCCGCCTCGTTCCCCTCTCCCCTCTTCATCTTCCGCCTCCTCCCCCATCCTCCGTCTGTCCGGCGTGCGCTTGCTCCCAAGGCACGAGCCGGTCTAGGGCTCCGCTGCAGGCGCCTCGCCTTTGCCACCCCGCCTGCGCCGGCGCTGCTGGTTCGTCATGCGCCCCCGCGCCGGCTGTGCCGCGATTGTCGCCGACTCTGGTGGCCTCAGCGTCGCGGTGTGCCAGGCGCCGAGGGGCGTATAGGCGGCTGGAAGGATGCAAGGACTCCTCGACGCCGTCTCCTCCCAACAGTCATGATTCCCTGGTTTCTGCAAGGTCAGAGTCTCCAAGCAGGTTGGCCCGGGCCACGGGATTCCTTCCGCGTGTCTGAGGGTTAAGCTTTGCGGCGGCACTGACTGCACATCTCTCCCACCCTCCCCTCTCCCCCCCCATCCCTCCTCAGCCGCGGGCGCCTGGTTCGCGGCAAAAGAAATCTCGCGGCACGGTTGTGATTTGGACCAGCTGCGAACACATTTGTTTTCTGCGAGTTCCTGGGGTTGTGGCAAGCAAGGTTGCAGCATGATTCCATTAGTCGTCGCATTACGGTCGGGGTCAGTCGGGAAGCCCGTCCTTTGCTCGCTCATAAGCTTCAGCGTTGCCCATTGAATGTGCCGAAGCAGGCTAAGGCTTGGAACATGGTTCGCAGACGTGTTAAAATTGGGGTGCTGCTGCGCCCTGGGGGATCAACATCCTCCGCCTCATCCTCGCCCCCTCCCCCCCCCCGACCTGGCACTGCCGTCTCGTCAGACGACCGAGGTGGACTTCCCGGGATTCAAGTCGGTCGCGTCCCAGCTGGAAAGCAGCCGTGGCGAGTTCGCCTTCCTGACTGAGAAGCGCGTGTGCAAGATCGCCGGCCGCGGCCCCTGGAATCCAACACGCTCCCCAGACTTCCGGTCGCCGCGGTCAGATCGCGACGGCCGTTTTACTACTAGGCTGCTGTGTCTCCCCAGGCATGCTCTGGGACCCTTGGGCCTTCGAAACAAGATCCGGGATGAACCAAGATTCAGAGGAGGAAAGACTACCGATACCGTTGCCCTTCCCTCGTGGCCACGGCTCGATCCTGGTCAGAACGCACGCTCGGAGAGGTCTTGGGGGGTAGCGGTATCGAGGCCTCTTGGTTTCCGCAAAGGGCCAAGTCGTTACGTCGCAGGTCTGGGCCCCCTCCCTCCTCCAGCTCGTGCTGGAGCTGCTGCGTCACCGGGAGGTATCAGGACGTCGAGGAGCCTGGCCCAGACCCTTGAATCCATGAGTTGAAATAGCCACCTACGAATTCTTCATACTGTTTTTGTTTAGCGCTGTTCTTCGGGTGGGCTGCGCAACGCGTGGGCGCTGGCCGAAACGTCGGTCAATTTTCGCCAGATTGGATATGCTGTGGGTTGCGCTTGAGAGGGGCGCGCCGACTTTGGGCAGACTCGGAGCCTCGGAAGGGCCTTTGTGTTCCCCGCTTGGGTTTTCGGTCATGGGCCCCTTGCTGCACGCAGATGCTTAGCTTCCGCGCCGAAGACCGCTGCAGACCGTCAGAAGACCGACGAAGACCGCCGAAGACCGCAAGAAGCCCGCCCACGTCCACCTAGGGCCGGTGGGTACGTAGCCCTGCGTTCGTTTCTCCGACGGCCGCTGCTGTTCTCGTGCGTTTGCTCGCGCGCACGCAGTGTGCTTCATGCAGCTGCCAGCGCGCTGCTGCACCAGATCCAGGACGGGCCTTCCGATCCCTGAGCACGCGGACTGAAAGAGCTGCCTGCCTCCCAAGACCTCCAACGCCTGGAGAAGTCATGGCGGAGCTTTGCTGCTCAAGAGGCTTACGACATCCCGCCAGCTCCCAGACGACGGGGGGGACCCATGGAAGTTTCTAGGGCGAGGTATGGGCTGCAATGTCGTACATGATGAGCTGGATTTCAGCCGCGTTAGGCTGACATATATGTTTATGACGGGGGCAACCAATCATCTCATATGCCTTTGTACTCCCTGCAAGCGGAAGTCGTCGAATTCAGGCAACGCCACATCCATAGCATCAAGGCAGACGCACGACAGCGTTTCTTCAGCGGCCTCTGTTACCATCACCAGTGTACCATGACGTGGACGTCTACTCCTCGGCCACAGTATTTCACGTGTGGCAACTGATCCAGGACTGTCTGCTGCCGTTGTGCGTCACCAGGTCGTACCAATCCTCGGCCAACAAAGGGAACACGTCGTCGTTGCAGCCATGCTGTGGCCGACACCAAGTGGTTGGAAGCGATCGATACTGAGGCTTCGCCCTTCCAGAAAGGGCCCTCTTCCCTACAGAGGCGGGTAGGAAAATGAGGAGGAGGAGGAGGAACAGGCGGAGGAAGGACATAACATAATTATGGCGCGTGAGGACGCGCAAATGTAGGGTTTCTGAGCAGGAGTAGGAGGAGCAGGGCAAGATGTGGAGGTAGACGACCAAACCGACGTGCAGTGGCAGAAGGTGGAGCGAAACGTAGGAGGAGGAGGAGGAGGAGGAGGAGGAGGAGGAGGAGGAGGAGGAGGAGGAGGAGGAGGAGGAGGGGAAGGAGAAGGAGGAAGAGGAGGAGGCGGAGGACGAGGAGGAGAAGGAAGGAAATGCGGAGTCTGATGAGGGAGTGCGACGGGGGTATCGGGAGTTCTCGTGGGGCGGATGGCTCGAAGTGTCGTTTCGCGTTCCCCTCCTGTGGCTCGTTTGGGGCCTCCTTGGGCTGCCTTGGGGACCTTTCGGGCCGTCATGGGCCCCTCTTGGGCTGTATGTGGGCTTTATTGAGGACCTCTTGGGGCTTCTGCGGGACCTCTAGGGGGCCTGCTGGCAGTCTCCAGGGCCATTTGATGCGGATAACTCGGAATGGTTTTTTGTGAGCCCCTTCTCGGGGCTCTCTTGGGAAACTCTCGGAGCAGTTGTTGGCGGTATTGGGGGCATTTCGGGCCGTCTTGGGGACCTTTTGGGAAGCCTATGAGCTCTCTTGGGGGCCTCCTGGGCTGCGTAGAGTGATCAGAGGGCGCTCTTGAGCTGTATTGGAGCGTCGGAGTTCCGAGCAGGCCAGAAAGCCCAAACTCTTCAAACCTTTGCAACAATGAATGTGGTTGGCCTCTTGGGGGGCCTCTTGGGACGCTGATGGTCCGTCTTGGGTCCTCCTCCCCTCTCGTTTCTGTCCTCCCCTCGCCTCCGCCCATGGGCCAAAGCTGCGCGTACTGACGGCGGCGGGCCGAGCGGCCCCCGTCGTGACTTGCCTGTATTCGCTTGCCTCTCGAGGTCACCAGTCTGGGCGGCGGCCCCTTCGGCCGCCCCGTGTCTCGAACTGCAGGCGCCGCCGTAATCCTGGCGGCGCGCCTGGAGTTATGTTTCATTTCGGCAGCCAAGACTATGGCATCCTGCTGCTGTTCATCTTGTGTGGGTGTTTCTTGATCTGTTGGAGGCCATCTTGAACGCCTCGGAGCGCTTTTGCGCCGTCTCCGAGCCCTCTTGGTCCGTCCTCTGGGCTGCCCCTTGGGTTCTCGTGGCTCTTCTTGGGGCGCTACTGCTTCTCATGGCGGAGTTTCGTTATACTTTCCAGTGGCCGGGGTCGCTTTCAGGTTCCAAGGCCGCAAGCAAACGTCCAGGACGAACAATTGGTCAAGGAATGGGGGGGGTGGAGATGTGAGGGTCACGTGTCGAAAGAAACCGGCGTCGGATGTCATAGGTCCTGTCCTCTCCCACTTTCCCCCACCTCCTCTTCCCAATTCATCATCCATCCTCATCCCTCATCCCCCTGCCTTTTTTCCACGCGACCAGCGGCTCCTCTGCCCTCTCCTTCCCACCCTCCTCCTCTTTCCTCGGTCAATCTATTTTTCCTTCGCATCCCGCTTCCTCACCTTTCTCCCCCTTCTTATTCTCCCCGACTCCGCGTCCTTTCGCTCGTGAAGCCCAGATCTTCGGGTCATCGCATCGTCCGGACATCTCCGGAGGTCCCCGGGCGCATCCGAAGGCTCGAAAATGAGGAAACACACGCTGAAAGCTTGACCCTGGAAATTTGAGCCCTGGCTCAAAAACCTAGACCTACGCCCCCATCTTGGGTTATAGTTCTAGGAAGGTTGACTTTATAATCGGCGCTGGTACATCCGCTGTCGAAAGGCAGCGTAGCCCGGCCCAGCCCGCCTCACTCCAGTGCAGTCGGGCCCATGTACTGCTTAGTTGATTTTGGTGCCATGGCCTCTGAATCGGGACCCGTTGTTCTCAACCGTTCCCGCGGAGACCTCCCAGGAGTTGCCACCTGACCCTGCTATCGTTTGTATTTTCTTAGTATATTTCAGTAAGTTTACAAGATTGAAACCGGAACCCCGACCCCCTGGAGGTTCATGGAAGAAGGGAAGTTCTTCAATTCCATAGCCGTCACGTTGCATTGCAGGCAATTCAACGAGACTTCTGACATGTCCAATACGACATAGCACTACGGTGCACCAGTCTCCGAGCGTGCCGAGACCAAATCAACCACGCGGCAATCAACGCATTGCAAAAACATTTGCAACGACACAGACGGGGATCGTGGCCCTGGGAGCGCGGACGTTGTGCAATTTGTATGGGGTCCTGGTTCGGGGGGCGCGGACGCAGCGTAACGCATGAAGGATCCAGAGGTGGCGCTGCGGCGCGCAAGTTCACCGAAGTAATATCCAATGCGACGGGGGATACGGGGTTCCAACTTGAATCCTCTGATGCTCTGAATGTGACCCTTCGCGTGTCGCAGTTCCCTTCCCTATCTTGCATCACCTGTCTTTTTTCCATTCCTTTTTGCCCATCACCTTATCCCCTCTCGCCTCTCGGAACCTCTGCCCTCTCTCGTCATCCCCGTCCCTGTTCCACTCCTCCGCAGCCGTTTTGGCACCCAGGCTCGCCTGGTCGAGCTCGAGGGTATGTTCGATGCCGTTTTTGAAAACGAAGGCGCCCCGCCACCGCCAGCGCCAGACGGGGGCGGCCCGCCGCCGCCACCGCCGGCACTGGCGCCAGGCGACGGCGCGCCACCACCACCACCAGCTCCAGCGCCAGCTGATGGCGTGCCCCTGCCACCGCCAACACGAGCACGGGCGGGGCGCCGCGCTGGCCCTTCAGTTATCCGACGCCCAGCTCCAGAAGTTCAGGACGGCCATGGGGCGTCGAGGTGCTAGGGCTGCAAAGCTCAAGCTGGAGGCAGTGGCGTCGGCGCTCAAACAGACTAGGGCTGCGCGGGTATCGCAGATTTTCGCCAGGGCTCTGTGGCGCCTGGGGCCTCCCAAGGCCTAGGGGTGCAGTCTAGGAGTCAGGGCCCCAGGGGTCCCAAGGGTTCCAGAGGCTCCGAGTGTTCCAGGTGCTCCAGGTGCTCGAAGGTTTCGGGGCGCGCAGGGCCTCCGAGGGCCTAGGGGTTCAGTTTGGGGGTCTGGTGCTCCAAGGGTTCCATGGGCTCCCATTGCCCTAACACGTGTTCCAGGGGGCTCCAGGGGTTTTGGGGCGCTCAGGGCCGCCCAGGGCAGAGGGATTGAGTCGGGGGTCGGGCGCCGCCCTGCATCGTCCTGCGGAGCCGCTGCGCAGCCCTGCTACGTCTTACTAGCCCATGCGAAGCGCTGCTAGCCACCGGTAAGCCATGCAAGGTCCTGCTAAGCCCTGCTCGCGCTTGCTGAACCAGATAAGCGTCACAAGGCCTCACGAAGTTTTTTGTTGAATCCTGCGAATCCTGTTAATATGCATTCGTTAGCCACTGCTAAGCCCAGTGGTCGACCCTGCTGAGCCTTGCGAAGCCCCTGCTGAGCTCTGCCAGCCCCTGCGAAGCCCCTGCATGCGCCCCCCCGACCCCCTCCGAAGGGCAACCTGCGCACCCCTCACACGCTGCGTGGCCGCATGTATACGTTTACATTATCATGCACTCACCCGTTCATGCACACGCGCGTTGCCATCCTGGTCCGAAGGTCCTCCCCTAGTCTGCAAAAGTGGAGATTCCAGCGCTGATGGCCCAGTTGTGCGGCGCAGGTACAGGAAGCGATTGAGGCTTCTCGAGTTGGAAAACTGCAAGAACACACATCTTCGCTATAGGTTGCGCAAGGGCCGCACGGGGAGCTGCCGCGCGCGCAGGGTGATCAGCGCGTGCGTCCAGCAGGATGGGGCCCTGCTCTGAGTTCCGCGCCCTGGAGCCCGCCCAAACAGCCTCGCCTCGCCGCGAGCTTTCCAAATTCCAGCTCGTTATGTCCCTCGGTATTCATCTCGCCCCGTGTCCATTGCAAGTTCGTGCCACTTTCGTCTTAAGTTCTGACTTCGGCACGTGGTCATATTAGTCATCCCGCGCCTGATCCTACCCCTCTTGGTTTGTCGCAGGCCGATGGCCTGGCCGCGATCGCTGAGGCCCGATGCCGGGCCGTCGGCGAGCGCGCGGGCGCGGGGGGCACGCGCATTGCGCGCCAGGGGGAGTAGGCGCTGCGCCACTAGGACTCTTGCCCTTCAAACGATCGAACTTAAACTAGCGATGGCACATCATTCTGTAGGGGTCACCCCGCGAGAGAAGATGGGGCGCGCAATCGCGCACGAGTGCGCGAAGCTAAAATTTCATTGCAAGCTGGTGCTCCTGGAATCGTCGAGAAGTGTGGCGTTTCCCAGAGGCGCACCAAAAGTGGCGCGAGGGCGCAGTCATATAGACACTGGTGTAATGCGTAGCTTCGTCAAGGGGAGCTCTTGAAATGGTCTTTAGAGCGCCCCCCAAGACCGCGGGCAGTTAGAGCGTCCCCAGGCCGGTCCGCGCCGAGAAAATCCCCGAACTACGAGCGTCTGGCGCCTCCCGCCGGTTCCACTGCTCCGCGGTATTGCATGCTTGCCCTCTCGCCATGATTCCTCCCCGTGCCGTTCGGGCCAGATTAGATTGGCATTCAGATCTCGAGCAGGAAAGAGCGCCCGCCCCGCATCGCAGAGGAGGTTCAAGGGCGCGCCTGTCATGGACCCCAGAGAGCCTCAGACGAAGCCCGCTGTGCGAGTGGCGCTTCAACCCGCCGAAGCCGCGCCAGAGCTGCGACCAGTCGTCTAGAGACGTCGACACGGGCTCGTCCCTAGACCGCCGGCGTCAGATTATCCGGGAATGAGTGCCACACGCGCGCAGACCGTCGGAGGTTTCATTTCCCCAATTCGGAGCAGAAGGCGCCGATCGCCACGGGGAAGGAGAACAGAGAGCCCGATTAGAGGCACCAGTGCTTTCGCAAGGCGAAAGTGCGCGGCAGTTCCTGCCGCCAGGACCAGGAGAAGGTCGACCTCAGCGCGTGCGCGTCGCAGACTGTGCGCGGCGATTACCATGAGTTCTCCTTCGCGGAGGGGTCGTGGATTGAGCTGCGGAAGTCTGCGTCTGACCACGAGTTGTGGGCGACGAAGGAGACGCGCGCCCAGGAGACGGCCACTGCGGCCATCTTGACAAACTACCCATCGGTGCACGTGCAACTACAAAGACGAGGGCGTCGCGGGGGCGGATATCGCGGGCTAGCGCAACGGGGTCAAGCGGTGCAAGGGGGGCACCAGGCAGGGCCAGAAGAAGATCCAGGCGCGCTTGTGCGATGACAAGCAGGCCCAGGAGGAGAGGCGCAAGGAATTGATGGGGGAGATGGCTCGCGTTCCAGAGATGGCTGACCCCGCTGGCGCAGCAGGCGGCGACGATACTCGCGGGCTCCAGACAGGGGCAGTTCGGGAACGGAAGTGAGGCATTGGCATGGGGGCTCCGAGGAAGCCCCGAAGGGCTCGGGGGGCCCTCCCGGGGGCCCCAAGGGGGCGCCAAAGATAGCTCGCGTCCGCGCTATTTCGTCTTATTAAATTCAAGCTCGTGTGATGTCGTTTTGATGTCGGTGTCGTGCGTTTCTTGGTTTAGTCTTCAGTTCGTTTGTCGGATTCGACTGTTTGCCTCTCTTGGGGCTTGCTTTTTAGGAGGTCCCTTTCGGGCGCTTCAGAGGGCGTCGGGGCCGCCTGCAAGAGGGCCCCGAGAGAGTTCGGGGGGGCCATCTGGGCCCGATGGGGCAGCGCAGAACTTGGACAAATATTCAGATAATGGCGGTTGTCATGTGCGTAGGCTTGCTTTTGTTTCCAGACCGCCTCGGGGTTGGGGCCCCCCCAGACTTTTCTCGGGATCCTCCTCCAGGCTCTCCGAGGGCCCCTTTGGGCTAGTCCAGGCATTCGGCGACGTGCGTCTTGCCCGCCAGTTCCCTATCTGCTTGTCTGCAGGGGCGCCCAACTGCTAATGGCTTTCACTCGTGGGGCGGCGGCAGCGGCATCGCGGAGCCCTCGCGCGCGTCGCTCGCGTCCGACGACGGCCGTGGCGAGTGGGCGGTTTCGCCCATGTCGATGCTGTCGGAGGCCGCGAGCGAGCGCCGTCGCTTCGTCGGCAAGCAGCCGGTCTCGCCCGCTGGACCACTGTGGACTCCCTCGAAGAGGGCATGTTCGATTCTGGGCGCGTCGCGCCGCGCGAGCTCCATCGCCGAGACCGCGGGGGCGAAGGCGCTTCGATGATTTCCCGGCGCCGCTTCGGTCACCCTCTCGGAGTGCCGCGACAAGAAGGACAAGAGGGCGAAGGCCGATGACGCCCTGGCGAGGAACGCCGAGCATTGGGATCAGCGCCCGGAGAAGAGGGGCATTCAGACCGTCGTTGGTACGATCCAAGCCGCTGCGCAAAAATACGGTGCCATAACGATTGCGCATATATTACAGGACTCGTCGTGCCAGGTGCCCGTCCAAGCGGAGAGAGTGGAGTTTCGCCACAATGTGCTGGAGGCGATCCGCAACGAGTTCGTCGACCTTGTCCTCGGGGAGGCCACCGACATCACGGAGCCCCAGGTGGGGCGGGCGCTGGCCGAGGCGAGGCCGGAGCTTCTCCAGCCCATCTTTACGGTTGCGGTCCAGGAGATGGCCGACGCGTCCGTCGGCGCCAAGGCTTCAAACTTCGATTTTTTCGCGCGCTCATCAATGCGACGGGGCGCCGCGACGGCGCGGCCTCATCTTTAGGCTTGCTTGGGAGGGGCGAGATCGCGGAGAGGTCGCGTCGCACTTTGGCCCAGCACTTCGTCGACCGCCTCTGGAGTTCACAGGGTGCGTGCACCATCACCGCCATTGGCAAAGTCATCTTGGATGTCGCTCCGGAGTTCGGCCGCTGCGACCTATCGGAGATGAATCTCGACCCTAGCATGACTGAGTACTTCGAGGGGTTATGGTCTCACCAGGTCGCCGCTGACTTGAGCGTGATAGTCCAGGGGGCTCGCGTGCTCGAGAACCCCGCGAACTCGTTCGCGCTGAGCAGGGAGCTGCGCCCCCGTTGCGTCACGATTGGCGCGCACAAGGACATGTTGAGCTCTCGCCACAGGGCCTTCTTCAAGACCGCGCACGGCGCGCGCGCCAATCGCGGCAAGACGGCTTGGGATGTCATGGAGTTAGTACACAAAGCCGCGGTGAAGCAGCGAGATCTTGCAACGAGCGGCCCCGATGCCGCGGCGGCTTTCGCCATTGAGGTGAGCGAGATGCTGAAGACAGAGCTCGCGCGAGAGTGGCGAGCTGCAGCCAACGCCCTCATGGACAAGCTTCTGGTCGACGAGGGGGACGAGGGCGCGGACAGGCTGAAAGTGATCGGGGGGTACTCTGGCCAGTGTGGCCGCGTGCCCTCGGACCAGGCCAAGATGGATCCGAACGGCATCGCCAACTCAATAGCGACTTCGCTATTGCAGATTACCGACTGCATATTTGGGTAATTTCAACACCATGAGTCGTTCCTGGCGGAGAAGGTCGGGCGGCGGCCCAGTGCTGGCAGGAATGCATGGAGCGAGCCAGGGGAAGCAGCGGCAGGGAAGGGCCCCGCCAACGCTGAGGTAAATAAAGACGACGCAGATGAGCGAGTTGCTAATTTCAAGAACTTTGCGTGGACCCTCATATTGGCCAGCTTCGACACGTGCGTGGATAGCAGTTACAAGCAGTGCACGGAGCTCTCCGACGTATACTGGTCCATCTACGAGGCAGCCCCCAGGTGCGTGCGTAACGTGGAGGAAAACAAGGGCACGTTCGCTGCGTGGTCGAAGCACAGGCAGAGGGAGCGCAACATCCAGGACGCCGGCAATATTCCAGACAGAGATGACGGCAAGCAGATGAACGCGCTCGTGCAGAAGATCGGGTAAGTCACAGCTGGCTTCGTAGACCGAATGACCTTTGACGTTGGGTCCACGTCGGCGTGCTCCTTGGCGGCGTCGGGGTGCCACGACGAGAAGGTGGGCGCTTCCCCTTCCAGAGCTCATCCCCGCGATGGCGGCTGGCAGGGCGATCCAGGAGACTTCCGACGCAGACGCAAGCATTGGGAAATGCTTTTTTTCATGGAGGCATCGTCGCAGCGGCCGCGGCTATGCAGGGCCTGGACACAGCGCGCAAGGACGCGCATGCCGCGTGCCAGAAGTGTGTCCAGATGGAGAAGGTCACTGGCGCGCCCCAGCACGAGTTCGGTCCTACGCTAACCTGGTTGGGAGACAAGGCCGACGGCGTCTACGAGGCCTCGGACCAGTTTCAGAAAGAGTTCGACGTGGTGGTTAAGAGCGCGGTGGGCCGGAATTTCTAGAAGTGCCCGCGGGTGGCCAATGACAGCTCGGACCAGCGCGAGGCGATCTTCAAGGGCGCCGAGACAATGTTTCAGCAGTGCGGCATGTGGCTTCAGATGTGCGAGAGGACCCAGAACCACTTGGGCTGGTGCACGGCACACGAGACGATAGAACAAGTCTCCAAATGCGCGGATAATCTCATGATGTTATTACCAGTGAGTCGCGCAGCTTGTCCCGCGCGATGGCTTCAGTATACATCACCAGCGCGATCGTCGGGCACGCTGGGAATGGCAGGGTCGCGCCAAATACTCGCGACGCCGTCGCCTACGCGGAGTCTCGACTGGGCGCGAAGGCGGAGAGCTTGGACGCGACGCTGCAGAGGAATATCACGGAGGCCGAGAACGAGCCGGATGCCAGCATCGATCTCGCGGCTGGCCCCGACGGCACCGACGCGTCCCAGGAGGTGGGCGGCGGGGGCCAGGACAGCCAGACGCCGGCTTCAGCGGCAGGCAAGGGCATCGAGAAGCTCAAGATTGCCATATTGGGATATAACAGAGTCGCGTCGGTGCGATGGTGCCCATGAGGTGATCGTTCTCACCTGTTAAATTCTTTCCTGTCTCAGGGATGGCGCCCAGGAAACGGTACCTGGTTGGAATAGAATCTAGCCAATGGCCCAGAGGTCGTCGAAGGGCGCCTGAGTCTGAGCGGAGAGTTGGGTCACAAGGAAGAGGGATGTGGGGAGGGAGGAGGGGGATAAGGAGGCGGCGGTGTCCCAGTTCGTTCCGGGACCTCTTTGTAGCAGCACGCGTGCGCGGGCGCCTAGTTCGCGAGATAACTGCGCGATATCACATTGTAGTGAGGTGGCTGTGCGCTTTAATCGCAAATCTCATATAGAAGTATTATGTTGTGTTTCCGTGACCTCCATGCAGCCGTTCAGTTTTACACATGTATTAAAGAGTACAACCTATCGTCGTGCGGGGTTAGGACCAGGATTAATTGTTCTGGCACGCTCTTCTGGAGCACGGTCACGGCGTTCTGGAACGCTCTGAACCCGCCGCCGCGCCCGATGCCTCCTCCAGAACCGCCAGATCTCAGAGATCCCCGATCTATCCCAGTCCGATTTTGTTCTGGCCTGGGCTTCCTCTTATACCTCCTCACCCTTGCCCGTTTCCCCCGCGGCCCTTCCGGCGGCTGCTAAGCTGCCTCAGGACCAGGGTCCGGCGGCTGCTAAGCTGCCTCAGGACCAGGGTACCCCCAGCTTTTCGCTCCATTTCGGAGCCCTGGGGCTCTCTGGGCTTCGTGAGGGTTTCTGAGGGTTTCTCTGGAGGCCGTGGGTCAGAGCCCCGAATCATCAGGGGTAACTCGGGTCAGGGATAACTCGGGTTCGTTTTTCGGGAATCCAAACCCGAGTTACCCCGGACCCGAGTTACCCCGGATAATTCGGGCGTCCAGAGCCCCGAATCATCAGGGGTAACTCGGGTCAGGGCCAACTCGGGTTCCTTTTTCGGGAATCCAAGCCCGAGTTACCCCGGACCCGAGTTACCCCGGATAACTCGGGCGCCCAAGTGGGTTCCTCCTTGGACATCCTGGGGGGCATCTTGGGCAAGGGACACTATACGCCGTTCGTTGAAAGTAAGTACTGCGAAGGCCTTACGGCCGGTGCCACCGACTCTGAGAACGACGAAGATGAAAACGAGGGGGGGCATGGGGAGGAGGGTGAGTGGGAGGTGGAGGAAGGGTGGAGGAGGTGGATGAGGGAGGGGGAGGGGGGAGAAGGATGTGGAGGAGAAGCAAGAAGAGGAGGCAGAGGAGAGCAGGAGGAGAGGGAGCAGAGGGGGATGGATGATGATGATGATGATGATGATGATGATGATGATGATGATGATGATGATGATGATGATGATGATGATGATGATGATGATGATGATGATGATGATGATGATGATGATGATGATGATGATGATGATGAGGATGAGGATGAGGATGAGGATGAGGATGAGGATGAGGATGAGGATGAGGATGAGGATGAGGATGAGGATGAGGATGAGGATGAGGATGAGGAGGAGGAGGAGGAGGAGGAGGAGGAGGAGGAGGAGGAGGAGGAGGAGGAGGAGGAGGCGGAGGAGGAGGAGGAGGAGCTAGAGGAAGAGGAGGAGGCCAGAGGCTTTCTTGGGACAGCCTGGGGCTCTCTTTAGGCCGTCTTGGGCCGTCCAGGGCTCCTCTTGCGCCGTCTCGAGGCACTCTTGGAGGCCTCCTGGGCAATTTGGGGCTCACGTGGGCTGTCTTCGGGGCCTCTTGGGCGCCTCTTGGGGCTGAGGGCTCGAAATGTCTGTTCGGGTCCACCGTCTGGGCACTCCTGGAGCCGTCTTGGGGGCCTCTTGGACCATCTTGGAGGCGTCTTGGGCCGTCTTGGGGCCCTCTTCGGCCGTTCGGGGACCCTCTTGGGGGCCTCTTGGCCCGTCTCGGGGCGATCTTTGGGGCCTCTTAGGCCGTCTTGGTGCGTCGGGGAGCGCCAGAGGCAAGAACGCCAGAGGCAAGAACGCCAAGACGTATGGGAAATCCATGAATTTTGCCTTTGGGGGCTCTCGTGGGAAAGCTCCTGGAGGCCTCTTTGGGCGCTTTGGTCAAGGCGTCTTGGACAGATCGTCTTGGCCGTCAAGCCGTTATCTTGGACTGTCTTTGGGGCCTCTTGGGGCACTCTTGGTAAGTCTTGGGGCGTTTCTGGGCTCCGGGACTCCCCGGGGGGGCGTCGCATCTGACCCCTCCCCCCGGGACCCCCCCCCGGGACCCCCCCGGGACCCCCCCTGGGAGCCCCCCAGGGACCCCCTCCAGCAACCCCCCCGGGACCCTCCCCCCCCGGTCGGGGGAGGGATCGAAGGGAAGGGGCTTCCCTTCGACTCAATTGCGACGTTGCTCAACTTCGCTTTGGCTGGCGCGCTGAGGAGGTCCCTGGGAAAGGGGGGAGCTTCGACGAGCCCAGGGACAGGGGGAGGCAGGGAAAGGGGACGACAGAGACGACGATGGACGAATGACAGAGATGACGACTTGAACGGACAAGCCAATCACACACGCCTACAGGGTCGGCAGATTTGAGGATGCCCCAGCCCAATGGTTTCTTGCCGCCTTAATCTCAAGAGTCGAACGGTGCTCCTTCTTCTCTTCTCCTCACGGGACGGGTGGACGCCCAATCTACTTCCCACGCCTTTCTAACTTCATGTTTCGACCCACTTCTTCCGACCGACTGGCAGACCACCTTCACCGGCAAGCATAACAAAGGTCAGCGAGAATTGGCCACCAAAAAAACAAAAAGGGATCTTCCGACCGGCGTGTAATAGAAACGCCCGACCCCTCCTCCCCGATGCCCAAGGCCTCGACGGCACCACGGAGGCCCGGCACTTCGGAGAGATCGCCCGCCTGCATCGCGCCTTCACGGGCGCCGCGCCCGCCGCTGCCAATCGCCGCCGTGGCCAGCGCAGAGGGGCGGGAGGAGGGAATCGGCAGGAGGGCGAGGTGTGGGTAAGAAGAGATGCTTGGGGGGAGATGAAGGTAGGAGGGGCCTTCGTCCTCCTCCTCCTCGCTCCTTCTCCTTACATTCCTCCCCCCCCCCCCTTCCTCCTCGCCCTTCTCTCCCTCCTCTTCCTCCTCCTCCTTCTCCCCATCCTCTTTCTCCTCCTCCTACTCCACCTCCTCCGCGGGGATCGCGGAGCAGGTGGAGTAGCCATCATTCTGCCGTTTCTTGCCTCGGAGACGGTCTCCAGCTCGGCGCTGGAGATGATTCCAGGGCGAGTGCTTCGTGTTGACGTGGTGCTCAACGAGGTGCAGATGGTGATTTTCAATGTTCGTAACCGCGGCTTGTCCAAGCAGGAGGTTACCATGGCCTGTGAGCAGATCAAGGACGCCAACCGCCAGGCTCGGGACAACCCTTTCTCGTTCTTCGTCGCTGTCCTGGGGGACTTCAATTTTAGTATCGATGCGGTGCTGATTTTTCACAGGCCTGAGACTTCAAGGGTCCAGGCCACTCATGATCACAGAGTTCACGCGCCGGTATGGTCTAAGACGCTCGGGGCCATGATGGAGGTCTGCTCGGACTCCCCCTCCCACTTCTGCAAGCACACCAACTCTGTGAGCCGTACTGGCCGCTTCTTCTGCTCGGCGGCTGGCTGGGAGGTATGTCAGCTGACGGTCTCGGCGGGGACGATCGATTCGCCCGAGAGCTTGAACGGCAAGGTGGTGTCGGACCGCGCCGCGGTCACGGTTGCGCTGCGCCAGCGTGCAGCACGGCCGCCGCAAGAACGTCCTATCCCGAAGCTCATCTTCCAGAGCCCCTTCTTCGAGAGGCGACTTCAGGGTATGCTGCAGGACGGCGATGGTGAGCTTCTCTCGTGGAGCCCGCTTGTTTCGAGCGAGCACTATGAGGAGATGATGAAGGAGACGGCGGGGGAGACTCGGGACGTGCTCTTCTTCCAGGCCCCTAAGGCTGCGGAGATACTCCAACTACTCGCTCGCGGTATTTCTCGAGCGGTCTGGCGACAAGATGTTGGGTTAGCTCGGCGACTTCTCGACACTTCCGTGCACGCACAAGACGCTCTGCGGGTTGAAGGTCGTTTTGCACTTCTACGGCATGTGCCCACTTTCCAGCAGTGGACGGAGGGAGTGCACAAGTCTGCTCTCGAAAAATAACTCGCTGCTGCTGCGTCTGCTTCCTCATCTTCGGCTGCTGCCTCCAGAGGGGTATGTTCTGCTACGCTGTTTCGAGCTATGGAACGGAAAGCTGCGATATGGGCTCCGTTCTCGAAGCGTCTGGTGCTTTCTGCTGTTGCTGGTCCTGAAAGGCCCGTTTCGTCCCCCGAGGGTCGTTGCCAAACGCTGTGTGATTATTGGACGCCTGTCTTCTCGGCGAAACCCCCAGCCGAGCTGTCGACACAGGCTTACCTGGATCGATTTCTGAAGTTTGGGAAGGATCTCCAGGTAGACGTCCCGTTGGTCCCGCTCTTCATGCAAGTAACCAAGCGGGCTAAGTACTCGACGCCTGGCGTTGATGGGCTGCCGTATGCAGCGTGGGCTGCGATCGACTTTGGCCCCCAGCTGTTGGCCACTATGTGTAACTGGTTTGTCAGGGCCAGGCTCTGTTCGATGCTGCCAGCGTCACCCTGCAGGCCGTCCTCCCCAAGGGCCCCGGGGCCTCTGGTACTGCGGGTGGGGCTTGTGAGAGGTATCGTGATCGTGTTCGAGTGCTGGGTCTTCGGGATACGGACACGAAGATTTTGAGCTCGGTCGTGAATGTCATATTGAAGCTCGTGGTGGACTTTGTGGTCCCAGCATCCCAACGGGGTTTTATTACGGGTCGCAGCTTTGGTTATACTGTACTTTAACTTGATGCCCTGGGTCGCGCCGCTTCCCAGCATCCTCTAGCTCGGAACAAATGCCCGATTCTGCTCGGCTTCGACTACGGCCAAGGTGTCCCCAGCCTCTCCCCGGCCTTCCTCATGCATGGCAGCTCCTGGGCGCCATGGGCCTCTGTGAGGTGCTCCTCTCCTTCATCGGGTTCCTGTGCGAAGCTGTTCAAGGGGTCGTTGCTGCTGGGGGCGTTCTTCTGGAAGTTTTCTGGAACAGATCTAGGATCACTCATGGATGTGGCCTCGTTGGGTCCCTGTATGCACTTGCCTCTGCACCGATGCTCCAGGACTTTGAAGAGAACTTGGAGATGGCGGGGAAAGGACTGGGGCGTGCGTGTGCTGACGACTTGGGGGTTGTCTTGTTTGAGATCGTGTATGTTCAGATCAGCTTTGGGGTCCTTCATATTATGAAATTGATTGCGGGTCTCTCTATTAAGATCAGCAAGTGCACTGTGGTACCCTTAGTGGGCTCGATCTCAGAGTCTCTCCGAGGCGAGGTTTGTGTTCTGCTGGGGCAATATGTTGCTGAGTGGTTAGGGTTCGGCATTGAAGGGTGCATGCTGTATCTCGGCATCTGGCTCGGACCCAGCGCCACCGTGGAACGGTGCAGGCGCGACCCCCATCGCCAAAGTCCGCGCGAGAAGCCGCGGGCTTAGCCGCTCAGGTGCGGCTAGCAGTGTCAATTCTTCTCTGCGCCGTACACGCGTTCAATCGGCTCTAAACTACGTGGCCCAGTTTGTCCCGATGCCACCAGATTTCCTCGCGCACGAGAGGGGCGTCGCCTCGCAGGTCTTGCGGCGCCCGCTCGGCATGCTTAGCAATGAATCAATCCCCGAGCTCCAGTGTTGGGGCGGGCCACGGTTGCCCCCGTGGGCAGTGCGCGCCTCTGCTGCCCTGCTTCGAGCCGCTGCCGTCACCTTCCGCGACTTCTCGACCTACCTCGACCTGATGAGGGCCAGGGTGATGAGCTGGCGGCGATGCGTTGTTGACGGACGCCTTGATGAAGTACCGCTCTCTGCGACTGGCTGGACTCGCTTGTATCCCAAGTTTTGGAAGGCGCCCACTTTCGTTGAGAACCTCGACGGCGCGCTGCATCAATCGACCGACGACTGGGCGGTGACCGCTCGGACTACTCTCAACGATGAGCTAACCTGCACTGGCCGACGACCTCGGCCCCAACGCGCGGCGGCTGCAACTCTTTCTGGTCTTCCCGCCTCCGAACGCGCTCTGAGCCGAGCCATCGAACAGTGCCTGACCAGGGTACTGCCCCTTCCTACACAGCGTTTACTGGGAGGAGATTCGGAAACCCATGCGCCCCCTCCCGCAGAGCTGGGCCATGGCCGCGGTCAGGACTTGGAACAATGGTTGGTTGACGTCTGCCCGCGCTGTCCATCCCGGCGGCCAACTTCGCCGCCGCTTTGGACGCTGCCTACCTGATCGGCTCTAGCACTATCTGGTGTGCCCGCGCTAACTTCACCGGACCTTGCCCGGTTCGCTGCCAGCGCGCCTTGGCCTCGCGGAACCCAAGCCAGAGAGATTTGAGGAGATGCGTGCGGCCTAGCAGACCTTCAACTTGACCAGGGAGCGCGGCGGCATCATTGTCCCCAGAACGTTATCCTCGCCGGCGGCGGCTGCTGTTCGGTCTCTTCGGCTTTCTCGTCCTGCGCGGGCACTGCAGAAGTGGATCGACCCCCCGAAGTTAATGATCGTCTCCGCACGTACCGAGAGTATCTCGTCACCGACCGACTCCAGCCCTTCGTCGGGCGCCAGCTCTTCTTCGACGTCGGGGCCAGGACGGTCGCCACGCGAGGAGCCCCCACCTCGAGCCACATCGCCAGGGGGGGGTTCAGTCGCATGGATTGGCCCTCCTGGCATTCGGCAGAAGGCGGGGGCAGGCCCTCGATTGTCGCGCGGCGACTCGAATGGTGTACCAGCGCGGTGTCCTGAATGTGGTGTACCAGCTAGGTGTCCTGCACGTGGTGTGCCAGCTGGGTGTCCTGCAAGTGGTGTACAAGCTGGGTGTCCTGCAAGTGATGTACCAGCTGGGTGTCCCGCCACCGGTGCGCCAGCTGGGTATCCTGCAAGTGGCGTGCCAGCAGGGTGTCCTGCACGTGGTGTACCAGCTGGGTGTCCTGCCACTGGTGTACTAGCTGGGTACCGGCCGCGTTCCGCAATTCATGAGATGTCTCAGTAGTTCGCCAACCAGTGCCAGACCGCGATCCGATATCACTGCCGAGACGGAGCGTCTACTGTGTGGTATGCCTAGCAGGATGCGCCGACTTGCTACCCGCGGACTTCGCGAATGCCACTGGCCTCACGAATTGCGTCGGTTCCTCAGTTGTCAATGACACCATTGGTTGCGATGCCACCTGTTCGATATCCTTCCTGGACTTTTGTTGGACCACTGCCACCGACTGGTGCCAGCAGTTCGATTGGGACCTTGGCGACCTTACCCTTCCGTGGTGGCCCTGGCCCCGCGGAAAATCCAGTGCTGTTTGACGCTGCGCTCTCTGCTCATAAATATGTTGATGTTTCTCCGGCATCTGTTATTTCCACCCCTGGTCCCTTGCCTCTGGTGTGCTCTGCTGTTGCGACTGCTTGCTCTTCGCCTGCTCCTCCCTCGAACAGCGACGCCAGCATGCATCTTCCCGCTGTTGTCTCTCTGGCCGCTGATTTCTCTTCCCCGTCCGTCGCTCGGAGCCTCGCTGCCGATGCGGCTGCCTGCGCCCTTCCCTCTCCCCATTCGAATGCGAATATGCAAACGGCTGCTGTTCAACGTGCTGGCGATGCCCAAGAGCGCCCTCGCCGCAGCGCTCGCCGATAGCTCCGAGGCGCAGAGGCCAGGAGCGTCTCGCCCGCGGCGCCCCAGAGGTAGGCGAGGATTGAGGACTTCTGTTACGCTCGTCTCCTCCTCCGCCCACTCCTCCTCCTCCTCCTCCTTCTCCTCCTTCTCCTGCTCCTCCTCCTCCTGCTCCTCCTCTTGCTCCTCATCCTCCTTCGGGGGGGCGGCGGGCATCTGCAGGAACGGGAGCAAGAGGGGCAGGAGGAGGAGGAGGAGCAAAGGCAGGATGCCCATGAGCAAGCGGGGGGGGGATAATATCTGGATGAGGATGAGGCGAAGGACCAGGAGCACAAATGGAAGAGGCGCACGGTCGAGGGCGAGGGCGAGGGGCCTCAGAAGGGCGACGTGGAGACGGAGGGGGATCAGGAAGAGGCAGAGGTTGATGGACAGCAGGAGGGGGAGGAGGAGGAGGAGGAGGAGGAGGAGGAGGAGGAGGAGGAGGAGGAGGAGGAGGAGGAGGAGGAGCGAGAGGAGAATAACGGGCAGGGGCGATGCGACAACAGCAGGGGAGAAGGAGGGCCGGGGCCGGGGCGGAGAGAGGATGGAGTGGAGGAGCCAAGGGAGGACGGATGATGCAGGAAGCCATTTTGGCCGTTACGCAGCGCTGGAAGACCGAATCCGCGAGAATGATTTCAAATTTCAAATCCTCCGGGTAATCAGTTTGCTTGACATCTTGGTGGTCAGATTGGGGCCATCTTGGACCATCTTGGGGGCCTCTTGGGCCGTCTGGGAGGCGTCTTGGACGGCTCGGGTCGCTCTTGGGTCGACGCGGGGACCTCTGCCTCTGCGACCGTTTTAGAGGCCTCTTGGGACCTTCTGGTGCCGTGTTGGTGTCCTCCGTCCCCCAGGAAGGTCACGCGGGGCGCACCAGAAGTCACGCAACCAGCCTCAAGAGTCACGCGAGCAGCCCCAATACGTATTTGGCCCCTGGACCCCTCAAGGAGTGTTGCAATCCTGGATACAGTGGGCGGCCGAACGGGACCTGCGGACATTCGGATATACGATCGTTATGCGTGTCGCGCCGCCGTTTCTGGCCCAGTCTTCGGCGCGACACGCGAACCACGTCCCCACGTTTAGGCGTGAGCGTCCCGAGCTTCTCCCCACCTCCACCCCGGGGGCAGAGCAACATTTTTTCCGTTTGTATCGCATGGCGCATCGCCGGAGCCGCCGCCGCGACACATTCAGCAACACTTAGTGACCGTACTCCCATTTCGCGCGACGGGGAGCGCGAAATTGGCCGATTGAGGCAGGGCGTTGGTCGAAATTTCAACCAAATGAATCACACACACAGGGAATGCTGCGGTCGGCGCTTTGGGGGAAAACACTAGTGTCAACCAGATCTGGGGCCCGGGGGGTCGGGCGTTACGTAGTGGCTGGGCGATAAACCGGTGGCGTGAGGAAAGGCGCACCATTTATGGCCCCAAGAAAGCCTTAAAGGGGCCTCCTTAGGGCCCACACGGGGCACGGAAGGTGCACGTTTGTCCCCCCCCCCGATTTATTGCCCCCGCGCTGAGCAACGCCGAACATCCTCGCGTTCCTCCCGTTCGCCCCTGCGAACAGCGTGGTTCCTGCGAGTCTGTGCCCGCGCGCATGATGGTTGGCCTGGCAATGGAGGAGGAAGGAGCGAGCACAGACCCTGCTCTCTCCCAGGAGGGGGGGGGGGGAAGGGGGGGGGGGTCAGGAGGAGAAACAAAACAGACACGAGTATTCGTCGATTCCCAGGGAATCACCAGGCAACTCGCCCCTTGGCCCCCCGCCAGCCCCACGTCAAGGGGCGAACATACATACGGGTGCAGTACCGTGCTGGATGCGATGCACTCGGCTGGGCCAAGCAGGGGAAAACCCAATGCTGCATCCAATGTCGAACGTGATCCATATTCCAACGCTGTGTCTGCATGATGCGCCCCGAACCCCAGACCAACGAAGCCGCCGATCATTCCTGACCGCCCGTGCGTGGCATGGTGCTGCTTGGTTACGGCTGGAAGATGTCTTCCCCGCCTGGACTACAATTGCCAGCGACATATCCTCACATCCATCGCTTCACATTGCCAGCGCACTATCCTCACCCCCAGACCTGAAACTGCCAGCGAGGTATCCTCAGCCCCCTGGCCGAAAACTGCCACCGAGATACCCTCACCCCCTTGACTTGAAGCTGCCAGCGAAACATCCTCATACCCCTCGCTTAACACTGCCAGCGAACTATTCTCACCCCCTGGCCTAAAATTGCCAGTGAGATATCCTCACGCCCCTGACCTAAAACTGTCAGCGACATATCCTCAACCCCCTTGCGTAAAACTGCCAGCGAGATATCCTCACAACCATCGCTTAATATTGCCAGCGGAATATCCTCACACCCTAGCCGAAACCTGCCAGCGAAATATCCTCACACCCCTCGCTTAAAATTGCCAGCGACCACCCCCTGGCCTAAAACTGCCAGTGAGATATCCTCAACCCCCTGGCCGAACACTGCCAGCGAAATATCCCCACACCCCTCGCTCAAAACTGCCACCGAAATATCCTCACACCCCTCGCTAAAAAATTGCCAGCGAAGTATCCTCAACCCCCTGGCCTAAAACTGCCAGCGAAATTTCCTGACACCTCTCGCTTACTGTAAAACTGCCAGCGAAATATCCTCACCCCCTGGCCGAAAACTTTCAGCGAGATATCCTCACACCCCTCGCTTGAAATTGCCAGCGGCCACCCCCTGGCATAAAACTGCCAGCGAGATATCCTCACCCCTGGCCTAAAACTGCCAGCGAAATATCCTCATACCCCTCGCTTAAAACTGCCAGCGACATATCCTCGCACTCATGGCCTAAAATTGCTATCGAAGTATCCTCACCCCCTGGCCTAAAACTGCCAGCGAGAGATCCTCAACCCCCTGGCCTAAAACTGCCAGCGAAGCATCCTCACATCCCTCGCTTAAAACTGCCAGCGACATATCCTCAACCCCCTTGCGTAAAACTGCCAGCGAAATATCCTCACACATCTCACGTAAAATTGGCAGCGAAATATCCTCACACCCTAGCCGAACACTGCCAGCGAAATATCCTCACACACCTCGCTCAAAATTGCCAGCGATCACCCCCTGGCCCAAAACTGCCAGTGAGATATCCTCAACCCCCTGGCCGAACACTGCCAGCGAAATATCCCCACACCCCTCGCTCAAAACTGCCACCGAAGTATCCTCACATCCCTCGCTTAAAATTGCCAGCGAAGTATCCTCACCCCCCTGGCCTAAAACTGCCAGCGAAATATCCTGCCACCTCTCGCTTATTGTAGCACTGCCAGCGAAACATCCTTACCCCCTGGCCGAAAACTTTCAGCGAGGTATCCTCACACCCCTCGCTTGAACTTGCCAGCGAAATATCCTCACCCCCTGGCCTAAAACTGCCAGCGACATATCCTCACACTCCTGGCCTAAAATTGCAATCGAAGTATCCTCACCCCCTGGCCTAAAACTGCCAGCGAGAGATCCTCAACCCCCTGGCCTAAAACTGCCAGCGAAGTATCCTCACACCCCTCGCTTAAAACTGCCAGCGAAATATCCTCACCCCCCTGGCCGAAAACTGCCAGCGAAATATCCTCACACCCCTTGCTCAAATCTGCCAGCGAAGTATCCTCACACCCCTCGCTTAAAGTTGCCAGCGAAGTATCCTCAACCCCTGGTCTAAAACTGCCAGCGAGATATCCTTTAACCCTCTGGCCTAAAACTACCAGTGACATATCCTCATACCCCTCGCTTAACATTGCCAGCGAACTATTCTCACCCCCTGTCCGAAAACTGCCAGCGAAATATCCTCACACTCCTGACCTAAAACTGCCAGCGAAATATCCTCACCCCCCTGGCCTAAAACTCCAGCGAACTATTCTCACCCCCTTGCCTAAAACTGCCAGCGAGGCATCCTGAACCCCCTGACTTAAACTGCCATCGAAATATCCTCACACATTCTGACTTACAACTGCCAGCGAAATGCCCTCGCCGCAGGGAATAAAACTGCCATCTAACGGCAATGGTAATTCAGTTCAGTTTTTTCAGTCGTTCTGTCAGTAAGTTCTGTCTACTTCCCGAAAATCTAATTACGGGCTGCGCCCGTAAAATATGGAGAGGTATGGGAATTTTTGGGGAAGACGACAACCCAGAAAATATTGGAAAACATTGGGAGTCCTTGGATTTGTAGTTATTTGTTTGCGTGTCCCTTGGCCCCTTCAGGGGGGGAGTCAGGGGACCGGAAAGCTTGCAGGGGCAGGGCGCGGAGGAGGCAAAAGGCGAAAGAGAGGAACAGAGAGGAACGAATGAAAAGGAGGAAGGAAGAGGAGGAAGACGAAGGGTGAATAATGAGGAGGAAGGGAGGCACGATGAAGCGATGATGAGAAGAGATGGCTCCTCCACGAGCGTTGAGGAGGAGGAGGAGGAGGAGGAGGAGGAGGAGGAGGAGGAGGAGGAGGAGGAGGAGGAGGAGGAGGAGGCGGGCGCGAGGAGGAGAGGCAAGCAGAAGGAAGGGAAATGGGGCCTGTCGTTCACATCGGCCTGCTGCCTATCACGACAGGCCTTCTCCCCAGTGTTGGGGCTTTCCGTGCGTCCGAGACCGCCCAGGAGGCCCGAGCATCGCTCCCAAACTGCCCAGCGTCGCCCCCGACCCGTCCTGCGGGGAAGGGGTGACGAGGAGAGAGCTGCCGACAGCTGCTGGCGCCCGTCCGGGGCCAGAGGCTCACGGACCCCGACCCGTCTTCCCCGGGGCGGGCGCGGCCCCTCCCACGGCCTGCGCGCGGCCGCGGGAGCGCCGTCGCCGTCGCCGGAGGAGGAGGAGGAGGAGGAGGAGGAGGAGGAGGAGGAGGAGGAGGAGGAGGACGAGGAGGAGGAGGAGGAGGAGGAGGAGGAGGAGGAGGAGGGGGAGGAGGGGGAGGAGGAGGAGGACGAGGGCGAGGAACATGGCGAGGAGGAGAGAAAGGGAGGAGGGAGATCGGCGCAGATCCACCTTCATTGATTCCCAAGCCCTGCCGACCCTGCCCAGAACACGCCGAGCGCCCAGAGTCCGACGACTCCGAAGAGAACGAGCCCTTGCTGCTCCTCTCAAGGACCGCACCAGGGGGAGCGGTGGCAGTGCTTCCGAGCCTTATTTTGCAATGACTCCTCTCGTTAGCGTGTTCCAGATCTGCGTATTCCTTCCCCCATCTTTCTCCTGGCCAACCCTTCGTCCTCTCGTTCCCCCCGGAGAAGAAAAAAACATCCAAGCGCTTATGAGGGGGGGGTGGGGGCTTCCTTCGGGCGCGCGAGAGGGGACGGGAGAGACTGGAGTGCCGGGGTGGGAGAGGGGGGTGCTCCTCCTCCGGCGCGCGAGAGCGGAAGAGAAACAGACTGGAGTGCCGAGGGGCTGGGGGGGGGGACAGGAGGGTGCTCTCCTTTTCCCCGCGTGGGAAGGGAAGAAACAAATCTGAGTGCTGGAGCGGGGTGGGGCGCCCCTCTGGCGCGCGAGAACGGAAGAGAGAGACAGGAGTGCCAGGGAAGGGGGGGGGGTGCTCTCCCGCTTCCCGCGCGGGAGGGGAGAATATCATCCGACCTCCCGGGGGGAGGGGGGTTTCTCCTCCGGCGCGCGAGAGGGGGCGAGAGAGACTGGTGTGCTGGAGGGGGGCTTTCTTTCTGTCCCCGCGCCGAACAGGAAGAGGAAAACATTCGAGTGCTGGGGGGCGGGCTCCTCCTCCGGCGCGCGCGAGGCGAAGAGAGAGAGGCTGGAGTACCGGGGGAGTGGAGGGCTCTTCCTCTGTGTGCCAGGAGGTGCCCCCCCCCCGCCCCCGCCCGAGGGAACTATACCCAACGACCAGCCACTGAGGGGGGGGGGGGGGTGCGACCGCGGGGGGGGGGGGGGGGCGACAAGGAGGGGCACCCCTCCCCCCCGTTCGGCACGCGAAACGGAGGGGGCGAGGCGGAAGGAGGTGAACTCCCCCCCTTCCCCTCTCTTTCCGTGCTGAGTCCTGGGGGGGGTGCTCCTCCTCCGGCGCGCGAGTGGGGAAGAGAGAGAGAGAGTGGTGAAGAGAGAGAGAGGATGGGCAGAAAGGTGGTCTCTTTCACAGCACAGCCGCGCCGAATGGGAATAGGAACAATAATGTAAGCCCTGGGGAGGGGGAGGGGGGGTGTTCGGCGCGCGCGAGGGGAAAAGAGAGAGAGAGAGACTGTAGTGCCGGTGGGGGTGCTCTCCCTTTCCCCGCGCGGGAGGGGAAGAGGAACAAATCCGAGTCCTGGGGGGGGGCTCCTCTCCGGCGCGCGAGAGCGGAAGAGAAAGATTGGAGTGTCAGTGTCAGGGGGGGCAGGGGGGGGCTGCTGCTCCTCTCTCCTCGCGGGGGGAAGAGAAAAAAATGCGATTGCTGGAGAGGGGGGTCCCTCGGGCGCGCGAGAGGGGAAGAGACTGGAGTGCTGGGAGGGGTGCTGCATTTCAGCCGCGCGGAAAGGGACAAGTATAAAGTCCGAGTCCTGGGGGGCGGGGGGGGGCGAGGGGCTCATCCTCCGGCGCGGGAGAGGGGAAGAGAGTGACTGGAGCGCCGGGGGGGGGGGAGGGGGTGCTCTCCGTTTCCCCGCGTTGAAAGGGAAGAAAAACAAATTCGAGTGCTGGAGCGGGGGGGGGGCGCTCCTCCTCCGGCGCGCGAGAAGGGAAGAGAGAGACAGGAGTGCCAGGGAGGGGGGGCCTTGCTCTCCCTCTCCACTCGCGGGAGGGGAGAAGAACTTCCGAGCTATGGGGGGGGGGTTCTTCTCCGGCGCGCGAGAGGGGAAGAGAGAGACGGGTGTGCTGGGGGGTTGGCTTACCCTCTTCCCGCGCGGACTGGGAAGAGGCAAACACATGAGTGCTAGGGGGGGGGGGGCCCTCCTCCGCCTGCAAGGAGGTGCCGCGCCCCTCTATTTTCACCCCGGCACGGAAACAGAGGGGGGAGCACCTCCTTCCACCTCCCCCCCTCCTTGTGGTTAACTGTTACATGCTGTTATATCTTCAATGCCTCCAAGGTTGTTATATATTTAATGCAACGGTGAGCAATGTGACGTGATGTGGTGCTACCATGTAATGGGTCGTTGCGCCATGGAGCGTCTTGTTCTGCCATGCGTTGCAATGGTATGCCATGGGTTGCCACGCGTTGTGATACTTTTGTTATAGCGGCAAGAGGTGGCATTCAAGGCAAACTAACAGCATGCAAGCCTGGCCCTGCTAGGTAAGTCTAGGTTGTGCTAGCCATGCAATGCTGTGTGAAGCCGCTGCAATGGTGTACCATACCCTTCTAAACCCTAGCATATCTAGCTGCCCCATGGTGTGATATTTGAAGCAGTTCTATGTTGCGCCCAGGTGTGTTAGACTGTGCTTTGCTTTGCATGGTGCTGCTATAATTCTTGCGTGCAGTCACATTGCAACGAACGCATCGCTCTGCCGGATATCAAAACATGATTTGGGTCGCGCCTGGTTCATTTTGTGCTTGTTGTGTTTCCTGGCTTGACGAGATCCGTTCCTGTCGTGGTTGTCTATTACCTGGTCCGCCCGAGTCATGTCACCACTATTGGGCCCAATGTGATCACCAAATGCGTGGCATGATCTTGTCAAATGACCACCCGCAGCCATTTTGGCGCAGACTACGTGCCGCGGCCGGGACCTAGACCGTTGCTGTGATGAGGGCCGCCCACGTGCAGACCAACGGCGAGTCAAATGGGTTTAGCACGGAGCATCCTCACAGCGACGATTCCGACAGCTACTCGGAGTCGGATGAGGAGTCGGACAAAAACATATTGTCGTTTACAACTTTAGGCCTCATGCGGGGCCCTTCCCGCATTTTCTCGGTTCGCCTCGGGCTCCCTGTCGGAACCACCCTCCCCCGGAGAGGTCTGGGGAGTAACGGGATAGGTAGTCATTTTTGTGTTGTGCCAAGGAGGTCGCCGTCGGCAAGCGCGATTCTATGTTGGTCCCCTTTGTTCCCTTGCACGCAGCTCTGGCCGATGTCTTCTGCAACATCCCTCGCGTGCTGGTGTTGACGCTGATCGTGATCATGACCATCTGCGGGATGCTTTTCATTCCCGAAGACCAGTTTACAGCAACGTACGTTGGTGGAAGCAACGACGGGATAGCCAGCACTCCCACATTCAGCGCTTGCGTGCATTACTGCGAGAAAACGTATCTGGATCCAAGTGGATTCGGGAGGGAATCGATCGGGGGCGAGGGGATCTGCGGAGTTAACGGAAGCAAAGTCAAATTCTGCCTCTTCAGATCAGAGGAGCCGTCGAACTGCACGAGGGTGACCACGAATGATATTACCGACGAGATGATGGACGAGTTGGGGCACTCCGTGAAGTGCAGCTTCAAGTACAAGGTGACGAATTGGCACCCGTACTTCGTCATTGGAGGCCTGGCGATCGTCCCCGCCCGTTTGTGTATCTATACATATATATACTTCCTTCTTGTCCTCATTCTCTGCTCAATCGCCTCGCTCATGTAGCATGCCTTGTTCTTGTTTTACCACTGGCCTATAGTTTCCCCCTGCTCCACGGGAGGCCTGGCGATCGCCATCACGCTCGTCATACAGGGGCTCGAGCCCGAGGTCGCCCTACTCGGCGCGGTCGCCATATTCGCCGCGGCGGGGGTAGTCACCGTCAAGCAGGCCACCGCAGGTTGGCCAGCATCGGGCAAGACGAGCAATTCCCACCCTCCTCCCGCAAGCTCTCCTCCCCTTTCTCCTCCCCCTCCCTCCCGCCCTGCCTCCGTCACCCCCTCCGGCTCGCGGAGCTTCCGCTGCAAGCGCAGTGGCGAAGCTGCGGAGGCTTGCGGCCGCAGTGGGGCGGGCCAGTCGGCTCGAGCAATCGAGGCGAAGCTTCTGGTGGGCCCGCCGCGGATGGCGAGGCCAAGTTCGGTCCCCCCAGGGGGGGATCTCACCACCCACCAAACCACCCCAACCCAACCCGAAAGCCTCACTTTGCCCTACATTCCCAGTGGGGAGGTGTTGGGAAGCATCGAACAAAAAGCGTGTGGAACCCGTACACCCCCCCCCAGCCCGAAATGCGGGTCTTCGGGTTAGTTTTGGGTGCTCTGGTAGGAAGTCATGATCAGAGGGCGACCGCGAACCCTGTGGGACCTCGGCGGAACTCGGGGGCCCTCGAGAGGGGGGGGGGCCTCGGGGGGGACTGGGGGGGGCCTCTGCGGGGGGGTGGGGGTGGGCCTCTGGGGGGCCTCGGCGGGTGTCTTCAGCTCCGAGTAGAGTTTCACGCCCCTCGGGAGGGGCCCTTGCCACCCGCCGGGGCTCGAAGGTGAACCGCGCTTCGAGGTCTGGGGTGGAGAGCTGCTTCTCCAGGGGGTCGTCGGAAGAGTGTGGACATAGTCACGAGTAGATGTTAGCCAGTGTGGGCCCCATGCAGTAAGTTGTTGCATTGTGAATGGGAAAGCTATGTGTTGTAAGCTCTGTGGTGCAGTATACATGGTGCACGCTAGGGGCGACAACGAGGCGGCAACGGGGGGCAACGTGGGAAAACCTCGCTGGACCCACAGCGCACAAGGCGGCAACGAGGCGGCAGCGGGCGGTCACGTGGCGAAACCTCGCTGGAACCACCAAGCGCACTAGGCGGCAATGAGGCGACAACGGGCGGCAGCGTGGCGAGACCTCACCCGACGCACGAAGCGGCAACGAGGCGGCAGCGGGCGGCAACGTGGCGAAACTTCGCCAGACCCATAGACATGCGGCAACGGGCGGCAATGTGGCGAAACTCGCCGGATCCACCCAGCGCACGAGGCGGCAACGTGGAGAATGTTTTTCTGGTCCATCCCAGCGCACGAGGCGGCAGCAAGGCGGCAACGGGCGGCACGTGGAAAATCTTTGTTGGACCCAACGAATTCCTTGGGGAGGCAAGCAAGAGCCCCAAAGGGCAAGCGCTGTGTGGGGAGTGATGGGAGGCTCGCGCGGCGCGAAGCGCAGAATTCAGAGCCCCAGTGGTGACTCGAAGGGCTCACGGTAGCTCCACGGGACCTCGGCGTGCCTCGGTGGACCGAGGCGGGCTGCCCTGGCCCACCGGCCTTGGTGGCGTTGGTGGCGTGCTCGGCAGTCTCGTTGGGCGTTCTCGTTTCGGCTTTTTGCTCCCTCTTCACCTTCGCTCTGGGGCCGACCATAGATTCGCGGCGACGGTGGCGAATCAGAACTCTGCTCCGGACAGTCCTATGTTACACGTGCTCGTGCAGAAGCGAGAGCCCAAGGAGAGCGCACATCTCGGTTGGCCAGACCCTGCCGCAGGCTTCGCAAGCTCGAGCGTCATCGCCCTCGCGCTGCTCCTTCCCGTGGCAAAGGCCATGGAGGAGACGGGCCTGTTGGACCGGGCAGTCTCGGTGATGCTCGGGCAGCCCGACAGTTTCCCCGTCGCCCTCGTGCGGATGATGGTGCCCGTGGCGCTTCTCTCCGCCTGTCTGAGTAACACCGCGATCGTAGCCATGCTGGTCCCAGTGATCATCAGCTGGTCGCGCCGGCTCTCCCGGGGGGCCGAACGGCCACGTAAGTGCCTCCCTCTCGTCAGCATCCCCGTCCCGCCCAGGAAGGAGGAGAGTCCAGGAATTGGCGAGCGGGGGATGTGGGGAGGAGTTGAGGAGGAAGGCAGCAGGAGGGTTGTTGATTGTACCTGCACAGTTTGGGATGTGTCTGGCCCTCTTTTTTGGGCCTCTGGATGCGCTTTTGGCTACTTGTGGAGACCCCCGCGGGGTCTCCAGAGACCTAGTTGAAAAATCCGCATGGGGGGAGGATGCTTGTGGTGCGCTGCAGGGCGTTCCGTGTAGCGTTCTCAGTGCGTCCCGAAGCGCTCTGGCCGCGGCGCCCCATACATCCACCCGATCCGGTGGCTCTCAGGGAGCCAGTTCCCGATTTGTCAGTACCTGATTTTGGCCGTATCCTACCCTCGTCTGGAGGCGTGAGGGGCCCGCGGTGAACTTGCTTCGGCCCCACAGGCTCGGCTGCCACCCCGGGAAATTGATGATGCCCCTAAGCTTCGCCGCCCAGCTCGGGGGGAGCATGACCCTCATCGGGAGCTCACACTGCCTCGTGGCCCGGGAGTCCGTCAGGGAAGTGTACGAGGTGAATTTCTTCTCGACGACCCCGGCGGCCACGTGGCTGCTGCTGGTGACAACGATTCCCGAGGCCAGAACTTGTATTCGGCGGCGAGCGAGGGGAGCAAGTAAGAAGGAGAAGGCCTTCTCAGAAGGCGGCGGGACTTCTCAGAAGCCCTCGCGCCTTCTGACAGGTTTTCTGTGTATTCGGGGAAGGCTTAGGAGACTTCTTAGAAGGCTGGAGGACTTCCCAACCTTCTGAGAAGGCCCGCCCCTTCTCATTTCCCCCCTCGTTCGCCGCCGATGTACGTATGCACCGCCTGGGAAGCCCATGCCCCAGGGTCTCCAGGGCTGGAGAAGGAACAGGCGCCACCACCGCCACCAGGGGGGCCACCTCCAGCGATGGGGGTCCCACGATGCCTCCCCGAGCTGGTGGTATGTGATGTCTCGAGCGAGCGGGAGGGGGGACCACACCATCAGGAGGATCCTCACTGGCGCCTCGGGCTGGCGGTGTTGGTGTCGCCTGTCCCTGCTCCTACCAACGGCGGCGAGGCCAAGGGGGGCGAGGGAGAAGGAGCAGGCCGTCTGAGAAGTCTCCTGTGCCTCCGGAGGCGGCTCACGAGACGTCCCAGCAGGCGTCGAGGCTCCCGAGAAGCCCCGCCGGCCTCCCGAGAAGGCTGGCCCTCTCTCGCTCCCCCGCGGGGCTCGCCGCCAGTGCGCCCGGGCCCCCGGAGCGCCCAACGCTGGCCACATCCGCTGCCTCCTGGGGTCTGGGGACGTCCGGGCACGCGCCCAGACATCCGGCACTGCGATGGCGGGTCCCACTCCGTCCCTGCAAGGGCGTGTTGCTCGTCCTGGCACTGGTCGGGGGAAGAGGTGCCGATGCCGCTGCCCCTCTGTCGTCGCCATGGCTGGGTCAGGTAGAGAGGTCTGTGGAGTTGCGGTATGGGCATCTGCTTGCTCTCAATAAGCAGCTCCTGGGGGCCGAGAGCGTGGAAACATGCCGCGCTTGAGAGGAAGAGCAGTCCTCTGCAGACGTCTGGGTGCAGAGATTCTGGCCTCGGGCGCGTAGCAATCCTGGTCCTGGCGCCGACCAGGCTGCTGAGGCACTCGGCCGACCCCGCCAGCGAGGGCTGCTGCGACGGGAGCGCACCAGGCGCTGAGCAGTCGGACCTCTTGTACAGCACCGTGTTCGTGGTGCAGCAGCACGGCGCGCTGGAAGGCGCAGAGGCGGGATTGCTGCTGTTACTTTCTCTCCGCCCCAGCGAGTAACACGCTGCGTGAACATACATCGTAGGGGGAGCATCTACCGATACCGCTGCTCGTCCTTGAGAGCCCTTGTCGCCACGGTTGGATTCTCTTCGAAATTCGAGTCAGAGCGCACCTCAAGAAAGGTCCGGAGAGTAGCGGTTTCGTTAACTCCTCCATATCAGATGTCGGATGTCCGTTCGATCTTCTTGGGTCGGCGCTGGACCCCTATGTCTGCGCCTCGGGCGCCGCCTCAGACGCACTTCGCGCGCCATGGAAGGGGGTCCCCATGCTGACCGAAGGAAACCGTGCGGATCCTCGAGATGTCATGTTTGTGCAGGTGTGTGTTTTTCTGTGTAGGGCGGGCTGCCGCCGGAGCCAGGCATGTGGGGTCCTCTTCTTCTGTTGCTGAAGTCCCGGGCATGGTGTTCGAGCACGCTTTAGGATTGTCAGGACGCAGCAGCCCTGTTGATTCGCGGCGTTGGAGTCCCAGGAAGTGCGTGCTGCTGCGATTAATGGGTACCGGACGATGGTTTTCTGAGCGGGGGCACTTCCTGCAATGAGAAGGATTCTTTGGGGGGCCTGTGAAGAGGGAACTTGGACAGGGGGTCACTGCCACGTCGTTGATGCGCCCTGAGTTTACACTGGTTCTCCTCCTCCTCCTCCTCCTCCTCCTCCTCCGCCTCCTCAACCGCGGCCCCCGCACCCCCTCCCTATCCAGTACGGGCGGTTGCAGTGGGCAAACGCTTGCGGGGGAGAGTCCTGCTTGCCCGCCAGGGGCCAAGGGTGGCTCCCTAGCGGCGGCGTTCCAGAAAAGGCCTCGCCTTCGAGGATCGAAGGTGTAGCCATCTCTTCCTCGGGCGGCGGAAGGTCGGCGGAAGGCGGCAGAAGTAAAGCGGTGGCGGCTTCGCTGGCGGAAGCCCGAGGCAGGCTAGCGGAAGGCCGGCAGAAGTACAAGATGCGCCCCCAAGAGATGGCAGCGCTTTTCTGTTCAGGTGTTCTGGAATCGGCCAGCGGTGTCCAGGCCAACCCCAGGCCCGCCGCGGGAGAGCAGGGCCGAGCAGGGCCTCCTCCTCCTCCTCCTCCTCCTCCACCTCCTCCTCCTCCTCCTCCTCCTCTGGCTCCCCCTCAGCTGGTTTCGTTTGGCAGTGGCCAGCGCAGGGGCTCATCGAATGGTTGGATAAGGGTGCAAGTTGTTGTTCGTTCTAGCTCCCAAGACATCTTCCGATATTGTCTGTCAAGACGCGACCCCAGAGCTCCCGACCCCTTGCCCGAGGGTAGTTTTGCGTCCCAGATGCATGTTTGACAGTGGGGGCCGAAAGCGGCCTCTGGAGGCCGACAATAAAACATATATAATGTTGGGACGTGGGCTACAGTCAAGCGCTAGCATCCGATCACCGGGATAAAGATGCGGATCCCTCTCAGGTGGATTGCGTGCTTTGCACCCTGAAGAAGTTGCCCGGCGTGGCCAGCGTGTCTTTGGAGGAGGAGTTCGGGGGCAACGATAGAGGGGAGGGGACAGGCATAGGGGGGATGCATCGACCTCGCATGATTGACACATAGACGATGCATCGACGACACATCGTTGAAGCTAAGGCGATGTATCGACGATGCATGGACGATACATGGGGCAGTCTACATCGCCGGTGCATCGGCGATACGAGGGCGACGTCTCGGCCACACGAGGTCGATGCACCCCCCTTCGGGGCACAGACAATGACATAAGCATAACAACTCGGAGGTCCTCGCGGATTTCTAGCAGTAGACCCCCTTCCCTGGCGCGCGGAGCGCGTCAGGGGTGGTGCCGGAGGCGCCGCCAGGGGGCCCCAGCACCAATCCGAGGAATCCGTGCGGACTTACATGTGTTTGTTTATTCCATCTTGTGTCCCCCTGCTATGTCTATCCCCTATCAGTTCGACTTCGGACTCCGATTTGGATTTCGGTGTTTCAGTGGAGGCCTCACTGGCCTGCCGATTTGACGCCGATGCGGCCTCTCCCGACTTGGCCGCAGACTTCTGCCGACCTGGTTCCTTTCGATTGCCTGTCCAATCGACTCGTCTCTGGGATCTCCTGTAGGCCCATGACCCCCCCCCCCGGTGCCCCCAGAGGAGGCGGGGTGCCCGGCCAAGTTGCACGGCGGGGCGCTCCTGCGCTGCGAGGCGACCGCGGCGGGCGTCGTGGCCCTGCGCCAGGTCCGGGGCATCGAGCCCCGGGCGCAGCCGCAGCTGTCGCTGCTCGGCCTCCGCCGCAAGGAGCCCTCGGCGGCGAAGTCCGAAAACTCCCTCGCCGATCGAAGATTCTGGCAACTCGGTGGACGCCAGGGGTGATTCGTCGAACACGTGGCGAACACTGAGCCCTACCCCTGCGGTTGGTGTACGGGCGCGGGCCTGGGCGGCCGCCAGCCTAGGTTGCGCGGGCGTTGGCTGGCCCGTTGCGGGTGGCGGCGTTGCTTGGGCGTGGGCGGGTGAGGAGGATTGCCCTGGCTTCCCATCGATTCAAGAGAATCGATGTTGTTTGGTGGGGGTAGGGTTCTCGCCACCTGCGCCCGGCGGCATGCGGCAGCCTGGCAAGGCTCATGTCGACTCATGTTAGGTGCTCGTTTGGGGGACCTTCCTGGGGGCCACACAACGACGTCGATCGCTCGATCGAGTATTGAGGGATGGAATTTTGAGGGATCGAGGATGAGGGTTTCCAGATGGTTTATTGGCCCTTTCCAAGGCTCATCGTAGCGCCGCGGCAGGATCCGCCTCGAATCTTGGGTTAGAACGCCCTACTGGACAGGTCTTTGGGGCGACCGCGGTCGTCGTCGTCGTCGTCGTCGTCGTCGTCGTCGTCGTCGTCGTCGTCGTCGCCGGCGCCGGCGGCGGCTGCGTCGTCGTCGGCGCATCACCATGCGGACGACGACGCCGACGCCGACGACGACGACGACGCCGCAAAGAGCCGGCGGCATGCAGCGGCCAGGGAAACGTAAGTAGGATTTCTCCGTGAGTCCAGGCCTCTCGTGTGGGGTCGGAGTAGATGGGTCGGAGGATCGCTCCGTTGGCGCAGCCGCAGCTGTCGCTGCTCGGGCTCCGCCGCAAGGAGCCCAGCGGCATGCATCGGCCTGGGATCGAGCTGGTCGAGACGGGGGCCCTTGCAAACGGGGATTAGCCAGAGCGCCGGATCTCGCATGATCTTGCAACGCCAGGGTTGCATTGACCCGGGCTAGCGCGCAGGATCCTGTACGATTTTGCAGGATCCGGCAAAGCCTGACTGACCTGGGCTTGCATCCACCCAGGTCAGTAGAACCCCGATGGGAGAAGTAAGTCGTCGGCGTCGTCATCGTCGGCGACGTCGCTCGTCGGCGTCGGCGTCGTCCTCGTCGTCGGCGTTGGCCCCGCCGTGAAGGAGCCCAGGGGCATGCAGCGGCCGGGGAAGCTGTGGAGGGACAAATAGTCACAGACGCACATCCGCGTCGACTCCCGGGAAAACATGGGTTAGTGGATGGGGAAGACGAAAATTTCTAGACTATGGAAAAATCGGAGGAATCCTGGAACGCGTGTCCCTTTTAGTTTTGTCTCTTTGGGTGCCTATAGAAACGTAAGGAAACGGACCCTGATGGAATCGGGGCCCTGAAGTTAGTCGCCGGTTTCGGGCTCTCGGGGCCCGCCGCGGGCATTGAGATTGTCAAGCAAATAGCCCTGGGGTCCAGGACTCCTTGCTCTCAGGACCTGGTTCTCTCATGATATGGGCTGGAGTTTGCTGGAACTTGGGTTTGTCGCCGCTTCTTGATGGCCCCAGCTTGGACTTCGACGCCCGGATGTCCGCGAGAAACTCGCGGCGGGAGCGCGCGTCGAACTTCAGACATGGTTCCATCGTTCGGCAGCGAGCCCAGAGGGGAAGTGCGAAGAGGTGGGCCTTCTCAGAAGCCTCGGAATCACAGAAAACTTCTCAGGAGGCCCGCCGCCTTCTGAGAGGCCCCGCCCGCCTTCTGGCAGGGCCTTCTCCTTCTCAGTTCCCCAACTCGCTCGACGCCGAGTCGTTCTTCTGGCGCCCCCCCGTGAGGCAAGTCGGGCCAGACGAACAAGGGGGGGGGTCAGGAAAGGTGGGGGTGGGGTGGGGGGTGTGGGGGGGGGGGGGGGGGGGGGCGAAATCCGCTGCATGCAGCCGGTTTCGGCCCCGCCGCTGGGCCCGCTCCCCGAGACATGTGTGCCCCCTGAGGCCAGGAAAATAATCAAAAAATAATCCAAAAAAAGTCTGGGGACTATTTTAGGGGGTATTGTTGTTGACCTTTTCGGGGTATTTGTGGGTTTTTGTGTTTTTTCGTCGAAAGTCCCCCTGCAGGGGGGACACGCCCGACATAACCCTGGCCCTTCCGTGCCCCCCGAGCAGGGGCGAGCCCCCCAAAGCCAGAGCCACGCGCCTCCCCGCCGCGGGCGGCGGGGCGGGGCGGGGCGGCCTGCCGAGGAGGCGCCCTCGCCCCGTCTGCGCCCTTCGGAGGGGGGGCCTCTCGCGGAAGGGTCCCCGGGGAGGGGCGCGGCGGCGCGCAGAAGCGGGTTCTCGGAAGCACCCCTCCTCTTCCTCCTCCTCCTCCTCCTCCTCCTCCTCCTCCTCCTCCTCCTCCCACTGCCTCTCAGAGGCAGAGGGGCAGGCTTCGTAGGAGGAGCGGGGCCCTGTCTGTTGATGCAGGCCTCATCTGCTGACGTAGGCTTCTTAGAAGAAGCAGGCCCCCGGGGGAGAGAGGGGCAGGCTTCTCAGAAGCACCCCTGCTTCTCCGGAGGAGCGGGCCTTGTCTGTTGATGTAGGGCCGGCGCCGTCAAAGGAGCAGCCCGCTTCAAGAAGCCTTCCCCCCTCCCCCCTACCCCCTTGTGCGCGCCGCCAACCTCCGCAGTAGCCTCCCGTGCCGCGGCTCAGAAGGCCGCCAGCCATCGCATTCGTCCCCCACCCCATGCTCGCCGCCATAGGATCAGGGGCAGCGTTAGATGGGGGCTAGGCTTAGGGCCAGGGGGGCTGCATCGACCCCAGGGCTGGGTTCGGGGGGGATGGATACGGGGGGGCGGAATGCGCTCGAGGTTCAAGGTTTGAGGTTTTCGGACGTTTTCGTCGGTTTTCGTCGGCTTTCAAGCCTCGGGGTACCTTCAAGCGGCTGCGCCTCGCCGAGAGGTCGCCGGAGCGCCGAGTTATGATCCGAAAACCAGGGGACAACGTTTGGGCGGGGCTAGCCTCAGGGGTGAATGCATCGACACCGAATCGCCCATTCATCGCCGAGTGGAGCCCGACATCCCACCCCGCCCTGGACCGTGCAAGTTCGCTATCGGGGATCTATCGGCGATGTATCACCGATCCCAGTTCGATGTTCCCCCCCCGAGCTGCCCCCTCTAATTCGGGAGGGGAACATCGGCACAATCACACATACACACAGACATAATCGTTTGCATATGCGTATGTACATATATGGAACATATGAGACATGGAGAAGAAGTGAGGAATCCAGAAACTATATAGCAGAACGTGGGATAGCTGGGAAGCTGTGCCGTCTTATGTGTGTACCCCTGTGCCCCTTTACTAATGTCCCCCCTCAAGAGGAGCGCTCGCTCTTCGAGTGCCCGAAGTGCCCACTAGGGCCTAAGCGAGGCGCAATGGGAGAACCCCGCAGGAACCCCGGGAGCCCCCAAAACCCCACAAGATGGACCCCAAAGTCTCCAAAATTGTCGCCGATCTATCGGTGATGTATCGCCGACTCCAGCTCGATGTTCCCCCCCCTGAGCTGCCCCCCACCCCCGTTCCCCCGCAAGAGGAGCGCTCGCTGTTCGAGTGCTCGGTGGCGGACCCCTCGCTCCTCCCGGCTGACGAGCGCGAGCTGCGCAACAGCTTCGGCTGCGCCCTCGTCGCCTCGCGCCGGCCGGGCTCGAGGGAAATCCCCTGGGAGCCGGGCGAGGGCAAGACTCCAAGCTTCCGCCCAAGCGACGTGGTGCTCATATCGGGGAACTGATGATGATGGTGACGATGGTGTTGGTGACGATGGTGTTGGTGATGATGGTGATGATGATGACGATAATAGCGATGATGATGATCATTATGATTATGATTCTGATGATGGTGATGATGGTGGTGGTGGTCATTGCGACGACGACGATGATGATGATGGTGATTGTGGTAGTCAGTGTGATGGTGATGGTGATCGTAATAGTGAACCTGATGATCATGGCGATGAACGCGGCCGAGGATGGAGAAGACAATGATGATGCAGATACGGTTAATGATGATGATGGTGATGATGATCACGATGGTGACGATGAAGATGGTGGTGGTGGTGATGGTGATGATGATGATGACGATGCTGACCGTGATTGTGATGCTGAGTGTGATGGTTAAGGTGGTGGTGGTGATGGTAATGGTGCACATTATGATGACCATGAAGATGAACGCGGACGGTGATGGGGATGATGCAAAGATGATCATGCTGATGATGGTAATGATGATGATGATGATGATGCTGATGATAATGATGATGATGATGATGATGATGATGATGATGATGATGATGATGATGATGGTGATGGTGATGGTGATGGTGATGGTGGTGATGGTGGTGGCGATGTTCATCTATGCTGATGGTGACGACGATGTTGGTGGGTGATGACAATTATGGCAAAGATGATGACGATGATGACGGTGGCGACGATGACGATGACGATGATGATGCTGCTGACGATGATGCTGATGATGATGATGGTGACGATGATGATGTTACTGATGAAGATGATGATGCTGGTGATGATTGTGCTGGTGAAGATGATGATGCTGATGGTGATGGTGATACTGATGATGACGATGATGAACATGATGGCGATGACGAGATCCAAGATGCAGATCAGCATAAAGCTTTCGGAGGTCCGCGCTGATTCCTCGGATCGGCGCTTGAGCCCCTTCGCGACGCCTCCGGCGCCGCCCCTGGCAAGCTCCTCGCGCCACGGAAGGGGTCCAGAGCCGACCCAAGAGATCAGCGCGGATTTCCGAAAGTGCATGTTTGCGTCATTATTGGTTCCCCGACCATCGAGGCCGACCAACGCTATCTCAAAGAGTTCCCTGAGCGCTGGTTCTCTGCATTCTCGGTGGCCTCCCAGGTCAAAGATTCGTCTCCGCCCCGAAACAGCTACAAGATCGACGCCGTGAGGGCAATCGTAGTGGTGGCTGGGATGCTGATCATGATTGCTTTGGTGGCTGCCGAAGTGGCCCAGCTCAGCTACGGGTGCGGCATTCTCCTGCTCTTGCTTCTCGCAATCAGGGCCATTACTCTACCAGAGCTGTACTCATCCATCAAGGTGTCCGTGATTTTCACGATCGTCGGCGCGACTGGCATATCGAACGCGATGAAGGTCACTGGCGTCGCTAACTTCATTGCCGACGTTATGATGAGTGTATTCCAGCCGCTGGGCTTCTTCGGCCTCTGCGCCGCCGTCTACATTGTTTCGGTCTTCCTCAGCATGTGGATTAGCAACTCGGCCACTGTTTCAATCGTTGGGAGCTTGATCGTTTCCATGATCTCCAACCTGCAGGCGGAGGGGGCAGACAACATTCCTGCGCTCGCTGCCGCTTTCACTTGGATCCTCATCTGTGGAGCAGGGTCCTGCTTTACCACTCCCCTGGGCTACCAGACGAATTTAATGGTGATGCCCGACGGCAAGTACACGTTCTCTGACTTCGTTGTTTTCGGAGGGCCGATCACGCTCATCCATTGTGCAGCGTGTATATTCGTGGTTCCCATCCTTGCCATGTGGCTGATCCCGTGAATGCGCAGGAGTCCTGCGCGTGTGGTTTATATCGGACCGGCTGGAGCGACAACCATGGCCTTTCTGCCACAAGGTGCTTCGTTTTTCCGATCGTTCGGGGGGTCTACGGTCACGGCCTGCTTTCCGCGCAGGCAATAATTTAGATGCAGCTTGAGCTTCAAGCTGAGTTCCTGGTGTTTCATTCTGGTCAAGGTCTCACAATGAGTAGGTTCACCTGCTGCTTGGTCTTTTGCATGCGACCGAGCTCCAGGTGAAGCGAAGCCAGTGCCATGAACGGGCGTCTGCCCCCACAGCAGGCGCCCCTCCTGCCGAGCCATCTCGAATCGCTCACCTCGGGGCGCCTCATGACGTCCATGCTGGCTCGAAGACGCGTCCCAGATTTGATTTCTCTAAGCCGTCTCATTCCTGGCACGGTCTGTGTGCGTGTTGTTCCCCGCCCGCCTTCCTGAGCCTCCCCGTCGTCGTCGTCGTCGTCCCCGTCGTCGAGGTTGTCGTCGTCGTCGTCTTCGGCGTCGTCCTTGTCGTCCCCGACGTCTGCATCCTCGTCCTCGTCCTCCTTCTCCCATCGTTCTCCCCTGAGCTCGTCGCGTGCGATCGATCCGCCCCGCGGCCTTTCAGTTCAGAAATTGATTTTATGATCCTGCCCGGGACGAGCTTGGATGACTGGCTGTCCACGCGGCCTGGTAGCCTGGCTTCGATCTGTGTGTGCAGCCGCTTTTGCCCAATCGTACAAGCTCGATCGAGAAAGAGTTTTGGCGCAGCCTTGCCCCATCCTCATCGCAGGAGGGTGTGGTGGATCGGCGGCGAGCGAGGGGGGGAAGTAGAAGGAGAAGGTTGTCTCAGAATGCGGCGGGATTTCTCAGAAGCCCTCGTGCCTTCTGAGAAGTTTTGTGCTTTCTGGGAAGGCTTAGGAAACTTCTCATAAGGCTGGGGGGGCTTCCGAGCCTTCCGAGACGGCCCACCCCTTCTCACTTCCCAGGATGAGGGGGAGGTAGTGAGGGGGGGGAGTAGATTCGCGGAACAACAAACTACATAAATTGAAATGTCCAAAGCTCCACGCGGACCTCCAAAAGCGCATGTTTATGCCGTGTGTGGTTCATCTAGAGAAGTGGGAATGGCGGAAGAGGGAGACTGTCCTTCCTCTTTCTTCGCCTCGTCGTTCCCCGGATGTCCCTGGAGGTCCCAATGGGCCCTGTGGGGGTATCCACCTGCCCCCATGGAGGGCCCAAGAGAAGCCCGAAGGCGTCCAAACGCCTCCGCGTTCCTGGAACCTCGTTCGCTGGTTTCCGACAATGTGACTTGAGAGGGGAATGTGTAGGCCAGCAGGGACAAGGATTGGGAGGAAGAGAGGCTGGGAGATGGTGGTGCCCCTCGCTGTTTTGAGTGTTTTGTTTACCTATCTTCGTTGGTGCTTGTTCGAAGGGTGTCCGAGCTCTTTCGTTCTCGCCATCATGATCCTCATCTTTTCTTCTCTCTCCCTCTCTCTGTCACACTCTCGCCAGCCTCTTCACAAACAGCGCCCCCCCGAGCATGGTCCTCGAAATCTGAGCCCTGTGCCAAACGGCATTGGTTTGAATTTTCGATGACCATCCCTCTGCCTTTCTTTGTCTTTCTTTCTTTATTTGTTTGTTGTGGTTATCTGTCTCTTTGTTTTTGGTTGTGTCCTCTCTCTCTCTCTACGTATGTACATGCGACCCTCGCTGCCTCTCTCTCTCTCTCTCTCGCTCCCTCGCTCTCTCTTTCTCTTTCCACACACACACACACATTCACGCACAACACCGAGAAGGAGCAGGGAGGGGGGAGTGGTTGCCCTCTTACACCCTGCACACAGCACACGGCGACTCCCATTAGGGTGACGTGCCTGCCCTCACAAGAACAGATCCGCCACGCACTGCAGAAGGGGGCAGACGAGCGAAATGGGTACTCGCTCTCTGTATCCCTCTCTCTCTCTCTCTCTCTCGTTTTGTATATGTTCTCTCTCGCTCTCTATATTTCTCGATCCCGCTTTGCGCACGCAGCGCAAAAGGGAAACTTGGAAGGCGATTGTGGTCGCTCCCCCGCACCTCCCACAACACGGAAGGGCGCGCGATATCTCTCTCCACATTTCTCTTGTTATTTTGTTTGTTTTCTCTCTCGTTCTCTCTCTCTCTCTCTCTCTCTCTATCTCCCCCCCCTCTCTCTCTCGTTCTCTCGCTCGCTCTCTCTCTCTCTCTCTTTCTCTCTCTCTCTCTCTCTCTCTCTCTCCTTCTTTCCCTGCAGACAAAGCAGAGATGAATATCTGATAACGGGGGCGTGGTTGCCATGCCCCTTTCTGCACACATAGCACAGGGGTGTGGGATGGGGGAGATGGCTGCCCTCGTACACACGAACGCACCACACGAGACAGAAGAGCAGGCGTAATATGGAAACGTTTGCCGATCTCTCTCCCTCTGGTTCTCCCGCCGCACACACACACACACACACGCACAACAGCGAGAAGGAACACGGAGTGGGACGGTCTGCGCACATAGCACACGATGCCATATAAGGGGGACGCGGTTGCCCTCTCAATCACGAACGCTCCACGCAAGGCAGATGGGGGGCGGACGATGGAAACGCGTAGCTCCCTCTTTTCTTGTTCTGCTTCACTTTGCGCACGCAACACGAGAAAAGGAACTTGGAAGGGGAAGGCGGCTGCCTTCCCCACCTCCCGCACAACACGGATGCGCATGTGACCTTTCTGTCTCCCTCTCTCCCCCACTCTCTCTCTCTCTCTCTCTCTCGCTCTCTCTCTCTCTCTCTCTCTCTTTCTCTCTTTATGCCGTCTCTGCACGCAGCGCAGAATTTGATGGTTGTCGGTGGAGGTGGTTGCTCCCTCCCGCTCTGCACGTAACCCTGCGCCCCAAATAAGAAGTAACACCTCCCTTTGAGACTCGAGATTTGGATATCCCGGGCCAGGACGGAGTTGGTCGGGGGAGAGGGGTGTCGAGGCCGACCTTCAGAATCGCCGCAGAAGGTGCGCATTGAAGCTGCTATAGTTGTCATGTTGGGTGGCAACGATATTTCGGACGCGTGGCAAGGCTATGGGACTCTCACCGTTTCAGTTTTCCCAAGTCACGAACGCGTAGCAGGGCAACCCGAGGCCCCTGACGAGAAACACTGGGGCGCTGGGGGCCGAGAGTTTCGAGGCCGTAGCTTGTTGAGTAGAGACCCGCATCTGTACATGCGAATTCTGAGGCCCCCCCCTGAGGGAAGCATCCCATCCCTACCTCCCTTGTATTTCCTCGGGGGCTACAATCAGGAACGTAGGGCTTGTGAGCATGGGGACTGGGATTGGGGAAATGGCTGCTCTCTCTCTCCCTCTCTCTCTCTCTCTTTCTCTCTCTCTCTCTCTCTCTCTCTCTTTCTCTTTCTCCGCACGCAAACAACGCGCGAGATAGAAAGGGAGACGCCAGAGGGGAATGACTCTGCCTCTCTATCTCTCTCTCTCTCTATGTCTCTCTATGTTTCTCCCTATCTCTCTCTCTCTCTCGTTTCTCTCTCTCTCTCCCTCTCTCTTTCCATTTCTCTACACAACTCCCTTTCTCTCTATCCATATCTCTCTCTCTCTCTCTCGCTCTTTCTTCCTCTCTTTCTAATTTCGCGCGCGCAGCGCCCATATGAAGGAACTGGTTGCTCTCTTACGCGCCCCGCACAACGGAGAGGGGGGAAGCAGGAGGGGAAAGGTATATTTCTCTTTCGCATACACTTCGGGGATCCATCTGACAGGAGAAACTATGAGGGGGACGTGTGTATGTTCCCACGCGAGATTCACGCCACGCAGAGGGGGAGTGGGGCGACAAAGTGGATAATCCCATCCTCCTCTCTGTCTCACTCTCTTTCTCGTAGTTGTTATTTTTCTATGTGTCGTTTGGTTGCGCTCTCTCTGTCTCTTCTTTTTTTGTTTCTCTCTCTCTCTCTCTCTCTCCCCCTCTCTCTGTATGTCTCTCACTGCCCTCCCCACCTGGCCTGGCACAGAAACGGAGAGAACGCGTCAGAAACAGACACCGAAAATGTTCACACCACCGTTCGTACCGGGAGCCTTGGCGTTGAGAGCTTGTTACGTCACCCCTCGCTCGTGGGAGCCTTGGTGTCCAGAGATTGTGGCGTTGCCGCCCGTTCCTGAGCCTCGGCTGGGCCTTGGTGTCAGGAACTTGTTACGTCACCGCTCTCTGCTGGGAGCCTTGGTCTGATCAGCTTGTTTACGTCACCGCTCGCTCTTGGGAGCCTTGGTGTGAAAAGCTGTTTGCGTTACCGATCGCTCTTTATTTGGCGTCTCTGGGCCTTCTTGGGAGTCCTATTGCGGCCCTTGTTGGGCCCTTTTGGAGGCCTCTTGGGAGCCTCTTGGGGGCCTCTGGGGGGCTCTTGGGGCCTCCTGGGAGCGTTTTGGGGCGATAGGCTAGACTTTTCGGTTCGTGGTCCCCCTCTCGGGGCCGTCTTGGGGCCCTCTTGGGCCGTCTTGGGCGCCTCTTGGGCCGTCTTGGCGCCCTCTTGGGCTGTTTTGGGTGCCTCTTGGGAGCCTCTTGGGCCGTCTTGGGGCGGTCTTGGGGGCCTGTTATAAGACCGTCTTCAACGCCGTAAAAGCCGAAACGCTTTGTACGCTTAAAATGTACATTTTCAAATAGGAAATCGATGACTTTGGCCTCCTGGTGGCCTCTTGGGACGCCTCTCGGGGGCCTCTTGGGGCTTCTTGGGGGGCTCTTGGGGCCTCCTGGGAGCGTTTTGGGGCGAGAGGCTCGACTTTTCGGTTCGTGGTCCCCCTCTTGGGGCCGTCTTGGGGCCCTCTTGGGCTGTCTTGGGCGCCTCTTGGACCGTCTTGGGGCCCTCTTGGGCCGTTTGGGGGGCCTCTTGGGAGCCTCTTAGGCCGTCTTGGGGCGGTCTTGGTGGCCTCTTGGGCCGTCGTCAACGTCGTGAAAGCCGAGAAGCCGTATATGCTAAAAATATACATGTTCCTCTGGGAAATCAATGATTTTTGTTTCTTGGGGCCTCTTGGGACGCCCCTTGGGCGCCTCTTGGGGGCCTCTTGGGGCCTCTTGGGCCGTCTTGGGCGGTTTTGGGCTCTCTTTGAGCGCTCTTGGGCCGCTTTGGCGGGGAACCAGAAAAACATGCAAAAACCCAAAAGAAATTGCCGGAAACGGCCATTAACATTCATTCCCCCGCCCTACCCCCCTCCCCTGGAACCCCTCCCTTTAGGGCTTCGCCCACACCAGAACGTCATCACTCGTACCTCGCTCTTTCCGTTACCTGGCCCGGCACAGAAACGGAAAGAACGCGTCAGAAACAGAAACCGAAAATGTTCACACCACCGTTCGTACCGGGAGCTTTGGCGTTGAGAGCTTGTTACGTCACCCCTCGCTCGTGGGAGCCTTGGTGTCCAGAGATTGTTGCGTTGCCGCCCGTTCCTGAGCCTCGGCTGGGCCTTGGTGTCAGGAACTTGTTACGTCACCGCTCTCTGCTGGGAGCCTTGGTCTGATCAGCTTGTTTACGTCACCGTTCGCTCTTGGGAGCCTTGGTGTGAAGAGCTTTTTGCGTTACCGATCGCTCTCTATTTGGCGTCCCTGGGCCTTCTTGGAAGTCCTATTGGGGTCCCTGTGCCTTCTTGGGAGTCCCCCCATTCGCTCACGAAAAGCATGTCGCTCCAGAAAGGGGGGAAAGTCGTGGATACACCTTCTTCGGGGGGTTACTCGGACGCACCCCGCTATCGAGGATGGGCGCTCTCCCATCGTAGATCCCAGAGTCGGGCCCAAAATTGTGGTCTGGTAGAAAAACTCCCAAAGTCGGGGGCTGGGGTCGACATCCCCCCGCGGCTTCCTCCTGCCGCTCCCCTCCCCCGCCGAGCGCTTAGGAGCCTCGCCGCGCTGCTGGGGTGCGGAGTGGTGCCCGGCGTGGGGCGGCAGGTCGAGTCCGCCAGGTCAGGGGGCGGGGGGGGGTCCCGTTCCATGCCCCGCGGATGAGGGGAGGGGGGTGATGGCGAGGGCGGCAACGACGACGAGCATGACGACGGCGAGGGCGACGACGACGACGACGACGACGACGACGACGACGACGACGACGACGACGACGACGACGGCGACCACGACGATGACGCCGACGACGGCGACCACGACGAAGACGGATGGACGGACGGGCGGACGAGCAGACGGGTGGACGACGACGACGACGATGAGAACGAGGGACGACGAGGAACCATGGACGACGGAGCACGACGGCGGCCCAGTGCGCCAGGGCCCGACGGCCAAGGCGATCCCGGGGACAAATTACCTAACAGCGAAGACTGATAGGTTTCGAATGGTCTCAAAAGAAAGCATCTTGACTCCTCAGGGGGGTCTGGGCAGATGCCGGACGGGTGCCGGGGAGAATCCGCGGAAGTCGTTTTAAGCAAACAGTTACACACTTCGTGGTCTTCGAGGTCCCAGAACTCCATTCCTCGGCATGTTTTTGAATGCTCGGAGCCAACTGTAGGCCACTTCGTGGTCTTCGAATTCCCAGAACTCCATTCCTGGGCATGATTTTGAATGCTCGGAGCCAACTGTAGGCCACTTCGTGGTTTCGAGTTCCCAGAACTCAATTCCCGGGCCACATTTTGAATGCCCGAAGCCAACTGTAGGCCACTTCGTGGTCTTCGAGTTCCCAGAACTCCATTCCTGGGCATGATTCTGAATGCCCGGAGCCAACTGTAGGCCACTTCGTTTTCTTCGAGTTCCCAGAACTCCATTCCCGGGCCACATTTTGAATGCTGAGGCAGACTGATGTTGAGGTTGAGGCAGGCTGAGGCTCAGGCAGGCTGAGGCTGAGGCCGAGGCTGAAGGCAGACTAAGGCTGAGGCTGAAGCAGGCTGAGGCTGAGGCTGAGGCAGGCTGAGGCTGAGGCTGAGGCAGGCTGAGGCTGAGGCCGAGGCTGAAGGCAGACTGAGGCTGAGGCTGAAGCAGGCTGAGGCTGAGGCTGAGGCTGAGGCTGAGGCTGAGGCTGAGGCAGGCTGATGCTGAGGCAGGCTGAGGCTGAGGCTGAGGCTGAAGAAAGGCTGAGGCTGAGGCATGCTGAGGCTGAGGCCGAGGCTGAAGGCAGACTGAGGCTGAGGCTGAAGCAGGCTGAGGCTGAGGCTGAGGCAGGCTGAGGCTGAGGCTGAGGCAGGCTGATGCTGAGGCAGGCTGAGGCTGAGGCTGAGGCTGATGCAGGCTGAGGCTGAGGCAGGCTGAGGCTGAGGCCGAGGCTGAAGGCAGACTGAGGCTGAGGCTGAAGCAGGCTGAGGCTGAGGCTGAGGCTGAGGCTGAGGCTGAGGCTGAGGCAGGCTGATGCTGAGGCAGGCTGAGGCTGAGGCTGAGGCTGATGCAGGCTGAGGCTGAGGCAGGCTGAGGCTGAGGCCGAGGCTGAAGGCAGACTGAGGCTGAGGCTGAAGCAGGCTGAGGCTGAGGCTGAGGCAGGCTGAGGCTGAGGCTGAGGCAGGCTGATGCTGAGGCAGGCTGAGGCTGAGGCTGAGGCTGATGCAGGCTGAGGCTGAGGCAGGCTGAGGCTGAGGCCGAGGCTGAAGGCAGACTGATGCTGAGGCTGAAGCAGGCTGAGGCTGAGGCTGAGGCTGAGGCTGAGGCTGAGGCAGGCTGATGCTGAGGCAGGCTGAGGCTGAGGCTGAGGCTGAGCAGGCTGAGGCTGAGGCAGGCTGAAGGCCGAGGCTGAAGGCAGACTGATGCTGAGGCTGAAGGCAGGCTGAGGCTGAGGCTGAGGCAGGCTGAGGCTGATGCAGGCTGAGGCTGAGGCTGAGGCAGGCTGAGGCTGAGGCTGTGACTGCGACTGCCGTTGCCACTGCGACTGTCATCGCGAATGCGACTACGACTGCGAGAACAGCAGAATTCTACAACTGGATTAGCATCTGAATCTTAAGGGGAATGCTTCCAGATATGGTCCTACACATCGCTGTTAGGTTGCTTTGCCGGGATAAGTTGGACTGCATTGCCGAGGGTGGGGAGGAGGAGGAGGAGGAGGAGGAGGAGGAGGAGGAGGAGGAGGAGGAGGAGGAGGAAGAGGAGGAGGAGGAGGAGGAGGAGGAGGAGGAGAAAGGAGACAGACGGGAGGAGGAGGGTGGGAGGAGGAGGGTGCGAGGGACGGATGGGTCACTATGCGTGCGCCGCCCGTCGTGCTGACCAGGCTGTTGGAGCTCTACGTGTTCCTGGGCGCGGAGGTGGCTGGAGGAAGGCCACGGCACCCTCACCCGCTGGTGGGCCCGAGGTGGAGATCTCTGTCGGTCCAGACAAGAATGCCAAGACGGTCTCCCGCGAACGCGTCTGCATGACGATCGCGAGGACCTTCACCGAGATGTACGGCAACAGGCGTTTCTTCACGAACCGAGAAAACGGGTTGGTCAGCTGTTCCTGGAAGGACCTCATGTGCTACGAGCCTGCCCCTGGGACTTCGGAGCCTGCTACCCATTTCCAGGAAGCGAACTTGCGCCTCCTGGACATGGACGTGGGCGCCGTGCGGAACGCCGTGCAGCACCGCTTCCTGACGAAGGATGACGACGAGCGGTGTCTTTAGCAAGCTGGTGAAGGCTTGGCAGGGGTCATCTCCGTCTCGTAGTTCGGTCACGGCTGCGTCATGGAAGGCGAGGGTTGTGCTACACCATGACTTCGATGTCCGATTCAGGAGGGTTGAGTTTCTTCGGTCTCTGTTGACTTCGTCCCCTGCTGTGGGTGTCCAGGAGGCCAACGCGACGCTAGCGGAGTTTGAGGACATGCTGTGCCAGCTCCACAAGCCATCTGATATGTCTCATTCTATCTTCAGGTCCGACGAAGACCCACATGCGACCCGCTCAAATGTGGGAGGGTTCCTGGCATTATTTCTCAAGCTCTGGGGGATGATAGAGACCAAGTTCGCGAGCTTGTTCGTGGAAGGGCTCTGAGTATCCTAGTCAGCTTTGAGCCTGGGACTGGTGGCTTCCCCACTGGAGAGTTTTCAAGACACCGCGGACTCAAGTGCGCGCGCTGGGCCCCTCTGGGCCCTCCCCCCCTTCGGCGGGCGACGCGCGCTCCCTGGTGGAGGCAGCTGTCCGTGCGGCCGTTCGGGAAGGCGCGCCGCGCCAGACCGTTGCAGCCGCCGCGGCGGCCGTGGCCACGGCGGCCACGGCTGTGCGGCATGGCGACGGTCCGCGCGAGAGCGCCGCCGAGCAGGCTGTTCCTGCCGCGGCTCTGCGGCGGGGGCGCAGGAGGAGGAGGAGAAGGAGGAGGAGGAGGAGGAGGAGGAGGAGGAGGAAGACCCAGGTCGCGGACCTGGTGGACGGCGATATGAAAGGGGCTGGTGCCCGCGGGCGGTTCCTGCGGGGGCGGCGAGTTGCCGCTGGCACCAGCGCGGCGTGAGGAAGCGGACGAGGACGGCGGTGACGAGCTCTCCGACATGGCGCTGGTCGCTGGTCGGCGGCCGGAGTGCAAGATCGCCCACTGGTGCATCTGTGCCCAGAGTCTGGCTGCCAAGGCGGGGCTGCAGACAGGTCGGCTACGCTTCCCATGTTTGCCTGGTTGGCTGTTCTGTGACGGGCGGCTCCGTGAGCCGAGGAGGATGAGGAGCAGGAGGAGGAGGAGGAGGAGGAGGAAGAGTAGAAGGGGGCGAGGAGGAGGAGGAGGAGGGGGAGGAGGGGGAGGAGGAGGAGGAGAACACTCCAAGAAGCAGAGGATCTGGATGTACATCTTGCGAACGGCGGGAAACGAGCCTGGGAATTCCAGGTGTCCAAGGGCCGCCAGGGTTTCGTCACGTTCACGGGCGCGGACCTCGACGGGTACGCGGCCTCCTACCGGGCTGCCGCCCGATGGCCCTCACCGCCAGTGAACATGATAGGGTGCATGGTGGGATTTGTGTACATCACCTATATTTTTGGAACAGGGCCCGTTCGTCAGTCGGAGGGCCGATGCTTGGGGCATTCTGCTCCCTGGAAGAGGTCGCGTCTTGCGCCGCCAGGCTTTCAAAGTGCGCATCCCGGCGAGGTTATCACGAGGGCCTACGTCATAGTCAGCATACGTATTGGAAAGATATCCAGTGCGGTATTTATTATGCCGTTCGGTCCCAGGCGTTTTCTGAGAGTGGAATCGATCTTGAGCGTGCGACAGGTTCTCCTGCGCGAGCTCTTGCACCTTACCACATGACTTCAAAAAGAGCATCTCTGGCCTGTGCCCGCGGCTCCTGCCGCGCAGTTTCGGCCGCAGCTCGGGTTTCACGAGCGAAGAGCCTTCAGGGACGCCCGCTGGGAACACCTGTTTTCCAATATGGTGGAGGTCGAGCAGCCTGATTCCATTCGCTACTGTCTCGCCAATAACTCCACGCACGTGATCGATCGGACATTCCTCTCTCTCCCCCGGCGGAGGCGGTTCGTCCAGATGAACGCGACGTGCCTTGTCCAGGAGCTGGTGGAAGTAGTTCGCCACGAGGGCCTCTCCGACCGCGTCCCTGTCTCGGTGGGTCCCCGAGGAGCCAAACAGCGACCTCTTGGGGGCCGCCCGATGCCGAAATTCAAATGAACATTTACACACATCCGATGACGGGCGGAGCCAAATTCGCATGGGACGCCGCTCCCCATCGGGGCCATGGCAGCCGTCTCGGGAAAATGATCTTATTCCGATATGTAACGCGGGCGGTCTGGGGGCAGGATGCGAAGCTTGGCCCCGTCCCATTGCAGGCCCGCGCCTGGGCTCTGGAGCCGATGGTCAGGGACCTGAGCGCGGGCGCGCTCTGGCTCGGGGGCCTCGGCAAGTTCTCGGACGAGCTCGATAAACTGCAGACGGCCGACCTCGAATCCCAGGAAGCCCCCCTGGACCCTTGGCCCCCAGAGGGCCTCCCCGAGAGAGTCAGCCGAGAACGCCGCCAACGAGCCCGGCGATTTCGGGAGAGAGCGGCGATTTGGGCTCCGTTTGGCCATCTGCATTCGACAGGCAT